CAAAATTATCTACAGAAATTACATTCCACAAAAATATCCGAAGAACTCAAAGATCCTGAGGTTTGGCAACTAGATTTATTTACATATAAGATTATGAAAGTAATTATATCTAATACTTCATCTCTTTGCCCCAGTCTTTCTTTTTCTGGTGGGCAGTGTTTCAGTCAAACGTAAGAATCTGCACAAATTTAACAGACAGAAATACCACCTTACTCAAGACCAGGCAGCTGATCACGTTCACCTTGTCTCCAACACTCTGCAAGGAAAAAACTAAAGGTTGCAGAGAAAGTGGGGAGAATAAATGCATTGCAAGGCAATCAGAAGAGGCAAGTAGGGCACAGCAAGTCCTCTTATTTTCTTCAGAAGTTTATTACATCCTCCTCTGTTTTCATCCAAAGGGTCTGTTTCACCAGAGGTAAACCATCTTCCATACAGTCATAAGCTTTGCAAGACCCTCAAGGGTCCTTAGATGCTCAGTAGGTGCTATGCAAGGACACCTGACAAAGGGTCCAAGTGTGGAATAAAGAAGGGTAGGTATGAGTACACTTGGACACTAAAATAGCTTGAAGGCTTTTTCCCTATAATCTAAGTTATATACGGACATACGAGATACAAAGCTACGAAGTGGTGATCTGTGTAGCTAATATTTTGAATTTCACTATGGCACTTGAAGAGAGTCATTCACTGGGAGGACAATATCAGTATATACACTGATTATTAGTCATGAAGATAAACTATTCTAGAAATACACTAAACTGATCTAGACAGTTGAGTTCTGCAACTTATAAATGGCATGACAGGCTCTGAAATACACAGTGGACAGTAATTCTTTATCTTAACACCAAACTGTTCTCTCATTCTTCATAAATTATTAGTCATGGTTTTATTATATAATATAGACAAAATAAATAATATACTTATTACAAAATACATGCAAATAAAGAATATTCTGACTTTTTACAAGTTCCATGTCATGTCAGTCATGAGAACAAACAAGTACAAAGATCATTCCCTGCTTAAAGACTTTCTCTAACATAGCTGCTATTTAAGTCAAATTACACATGCTTTCAGGGCAATCAATTCAGAATTAAAACAGTATTTTTAGATGTAAATGTCTCTGTAGAAATACTTGATATTTTTGCTTTGTGGAACTTACACATATATAGTATTTGGCACAGAATTAGACATGCTGCATATTTTTCTGGGGAGAACACATTCTTAAAATAAGATAGGATGTATCCAAAGTTGAGGAAAGCATCCTATGAAATATGTAAGCTATACATAATAGGTAACTTTGAAATTTACAGTTTAAGTTCATGTTAGCCAAAAGTTATTGTGATTAGAAAATATAAAATAGCTACTTAGAATGTTTTTTGGTTTTTGATACCTTTCTACATCCTGTGAGAGAGAGTGCTTACTTTTCTAGAAGTGAAGGATATGACAGATCCTTTATTAAAATGTTAGCACAGCCAAAAGCCATCTGAAAAGCATTTTCCTAAATGTTCTTAATAAACCACTCACATCCAGTAGCTATTGCACAGTGCAATAAAACAAAATATGCTGAAACAAAAATAATTTTACTAGGTAATTTTGCATCTCTCTAAAGAAATACCTAAGGCTGAGCAAATTATAAAGAAAGAGGTTTATTTTGGCTCACGGTTTTGCATGCTGTATGGGAAGCATGGTGCTGGCATCTGCTTCTGGTGAGGGCCTCAAGAAGCTTACAGTCATAGTGGAAGGTAAAGGGAGAACAGGCATACTGTATGGGAAGAGCAGGAACAAGAGGTGGGGGAGGTGCCACACTCCCCCCAGACCTCATGAACTACCACAGCAAGCCAATCATGAGGGATCTGCCTCAATGATCCAAACACCTCCCACCAGGCCCCACCTCCAACACTGGGAATATTACATTTCAACATGAGATTTGGAGGGAATAAACAACCAAACCATATCAATCATCTAATACCACCCTCATGTAGTAAGAATATTTAGTGGCCTAGGTAGCCAAACTATATAGCAAGGCGCTTATTCTTTCCAAAGTCAATGTTTCAGCTATTTGGAGGACAAAATAATATTTCTAATCAAAGTTGTGCTCTTCTAGATTTACGTTTGTGCAGTTGTGAGAACTCCAAAGAACTTCACATGTCCTGAGGACGTTACTACAAAGTGGTTAATTTCTGAATTGAATTTAAACTGTAATTTCCTTTCCAAATTCCATATGGTTTGAACTCTATTCTAAAAGTAATTTTAGGGTACATTTCTTATTCTTGGATAATCTGAAAATACAAACTGTAACTTGCAAATATACAAAAACACAGGAGTTCAACTGTACTCACAATACTAGCCCTCTTCTTAATTCTCTTACAGGATACTGTTTTCTATCCACCCATTTTGTGAAAACTGCACACTGCTGCTCTGCGCTGATAATCTGTAGATTTTTCTTTTACTTTGAACTTGGACAAAGAATCCAGTGCTTCATCATCCTTTATACTATTCTCCAGGCTTTTTCCACATATCCCCTATTTCAGCTGTTTACATTTAGATTTTCCTTTATGGGATTCCTCCTTCCAGGAACTTTGGTTAGGGGAATTCACAGTAATAAATGACAACTAATAAAAAGTATATTTTAAAATCTATGTAATAGTTTTTCTCATAGGAGATCAAGAATTAAATGCCATCTAAAACACTGGGAAAGCAGATTATGAAGTGGTACTCCATATGCAATAAATATGCCAACATATCACTAACTTTATTTATAAAATCTGTTAACTGAATACAAATCAAGTACAAGGGAATCTTTTTTTTTTTTGAGACGGAGTCTTGCTCTGTCGCCCAGGCTGGAGTGCAGTGGCCGGATCTCAGCTCACTGCAAGCTCTGCCTCCCGGGTTTACACCACTCTCCTGCCTCAGCCTCCCGAGTAGCTGGGACTACAGGCACCCGCCACCTCGCCCCACTTGTTTTTTGTATTTTTTAGTAGAGACGGGGTTTCACCATGTTAGCCAGGATGGTCTCGATCTCCTGACCTCGTGATCTGCCTGTCTTGGCCTCCCAAAGTGCTGGGATTACAGGCCTGAGCCACTGCGCCCGGCCAAGGAAATCTTTTAAAGGTATCAGTGCTATGGAATTATAGTGTTATTCTTTATCTTGTTTTAGTTATAAGATGTTCCCACCATTAGTTTTCAGGAATAATGAATATTTATTTAAGCGCCACTGTATGACAACCCTGTGCCAGTGATGTACATGTGATTTCATCCTTTCAATAACCATTCAAGGTTAATATCCCCTCTTTCCAGGTGATAAAAGGGAATGGCTGATATACAAATTCAAATATGACTCCACAGCCCAGGCCTTTCCTCTTCCTTCCCCACTGTGCCATGCCACATCTCGTTTGAAAATCAAAAAGTAAGTTATTTATTCTAAAACAGTTCGACACACTGTTTCCTAAGGATGGGAGAAAATAACTAACTAACCCGAAAACGCTATTTTTCCTTTCTCTGTGAAAAAAATGAATAATCTAATCAGCGAGTTTACTACATGTCAAAATTTTAAGTTTTCTTTTCGTCATGCAATATATAAAACTAAAAAAGCATTCAAGTATGGTCATTAATAGTATTAATCCACTAAAATTTCACAATCAGTTTGTTTCAAGTGTATTTTGTACCCCATTATATGAAGTGTTATCAAAGTACATCATATGTAACCATTAAAGAGAACAGAGAGCATAAAAAGTTGTGAAAATGGTTAAAAAATAAAGAAAGTGGAGTAGTTGGCATATACACTTGGTATTACATGTTCTCTTTTGAAGTTTTTGATCAAAAATAGAAAATACTAACGAACCATTTGGGCTAAATCATTTTCAAATTCCATAATATGGAAGCAAAGAAAAAGTGCGCTTTGTAAAGGAAAACAATATACATGCTGTAATATGGATGAACCTCGAGGATATTATGCTAAGTGAAATAAAGCACTCTCAAAAAAAGACAAATACTGTATGATTTCACTTATATGTTGTACCTAGAGTAGTCAAATTCAGAAACAGAAAGTGGAATGATGATACTGAGAGAGAGGGGAGGAAGAGGGAAATGAGTTGTTTAATGGGTACAGAGTTTCAAATTTTGCAAGACAAAAAACGTTTTGGAAATCAGCTGCGTAATCATATGGGTATACCTAACACCATGTTGTTAAGAGGTAAATTTTGTTATGAGCCTCTTCTCACAATTAAAATAACTGTCATTTTTTAAAAGGACCCAATGATTTGTTAATGTGACAGTGACATTGCAGGCATGTTTTAAAAACAAAGTATTTAGAGATACATATAAGTTGTTATCTGCATGTTGATGGTATGTAAGGTTCACTGTAGTATTTACTTTTGTAGAATGTTTAAAATTTTCCTCAATGAAATAAACAGAATAAAATAACTTTTAAAAAAGGCAGCAATAAGGAAATGAAATTTCCTAACCAAGAGAACCACTAGCATGAAAATACTTGATTATAGTTTAAACATGTAAAATGTAACATTTTAGCCATAACTGATAAACATGTCACATCACTTATTTCACTTGAGAGAAAGCTGCTGAAAAACTAATTATTAACTGGGCTTGCATCTGAAAAACAATATGGAGAAAATTACATGGACAGTCTAAGTTTGCTATGAAAACAATGTACTTTTATTAATTAAAAGTCAAAAACAACAAAAGGGAAATTTCACAACCTTTGTTTGCAACTATATAATCTTTATGTAGAAAAACTATAAAGTGACAGCCTGATCTGGAAAGCAGCTCAACAATAAACCTAATCCTTACATCAAAAGAAAGTAAATTATAGAATCAGTTCACCCAAAAGAAATTGTCTTGCTGTAGAGTATTTTAGCCCAACTGATTTCAACTATATTATTCTCATTTCTGACAAACTGTCTTTCCTGATATTTCAAATCACCAGAGATGTAACAGACAAGAACCCGTTGAAGTAAAATAATAAAACACAAATACTCCAAGCACAATTACATGTGACATGATGAGTGCATTTAATCTACAATCTACAAAACTATACAAATTACCAATTATACATATAATCCATTTACATTGAAGCTCCATGAGGTGGTACTGAATAAACACTGAGGCATCAAATTTTCAACAATGGAACAAGGCTCACGGAACAGCAGCACATTCCCACCTTTTAGTCTATCATCTCAACACTTCCCCTGGAATTTGCACTTATTTATATATTATCTAAGTCCTACGAAGTTGGTAACAAAAATTTTAAAAGTCAAAAGGATAATGAATTAAACACTCCCTAAAATCTATTCTAAAACATGCGTGTGAAATATGAAGACACCAAGCACTTTGTAAATGTGAGATTTTACAGTCACATGTTCCTTTAAACTTATACTAGTATCCTCACTAGTATCTGCACAATTTTCTGTAATAAAGCTTTTCACTAAAACTTAATAGAAGAGGAAAACAATAAACAAAAAAACCTTATTTTTAAACTGTACAGTCTTAGAAAAGTGGTACTATTTATTTTTAAAACCAACTTTTTCTGCTAAAGAAATCACACTGTGTGGTCATCAGAACAGTTTGTCACTTTGGCAATACAGAGATTTATTTACCCTTATTTTGAATAACAATGATGATAAACTATTGTCATGGTCATATTTTTCAGAACTTATGCCACCATGGAGGCAAATGTGTACAGAATATTTCTAATAAACCTAAATTTAATCACAGTTAAAATTTCTCAAAAGTATTTTCAAGTGCTCAAGAATATTAAAGTTTGGGGGGATATACATAAGTCATAAATAAGCAAGTATTCCCTCCAAGATTCATTAATTGGGATAAAGTCTCAGGGTAAGCCCACAAGAATGGTCTGCAATAAAGAAAAATCAGGTCTGTGTAGAGTAACGTCTGCCACCTTTAGCAGAAAAGCCAAAAATATTCTGAGCCAAATAAAAGCATCTTTTGATTCAGCACTTTTTGTTGTGTTAGTTTTAATTTCTAACTTCTCAACATGTTATAGCTCAGAAATTCCCATATGCTTACTATCTATAACAAGGAACTGTATCGTTAAAGAAAAAATTCAGAGACATGATCATTTTCCATCATAGGTCTGTCTCTCTTTGGTAAGAAACAGACCAACACTTACTTATTTTCTCTCACCTACAGAAGAGAGGGGAGTTAAATGTCATTAACCTAGTAAACAATTCCTGTGTATAAACATTAAGTTGGAGGGTAAAGAGCCTAAATCATGCCCTTTATAAGATCTGTGGAAAACAACTCTAGCATGTAGCTGTGGTAGAGGACAACAGGTGTCCACAGATAGAACATGATCTTTCCTGTAACTGGAAGACCATGCCTATGAACATTCTAGTGAACCTATAGAAATTTTGCTCTGTAACTTGAGTGTCCTTCAGACAAGAAACATGAATAATGTTATTATAAAAATATGGTAGAATATCTTCCCCCTTATAAGTCACCAACTTCTGATCCCATTAAACTTTCATAGAATCCATGGGGGTATTAAGTAGGTTTACTCTAGATATTCTGTCATGAAGTAAAACTGGAAATAAACTATCTAATAATACCACTAAAAATTCAAGAAAAAAAAATCCAATACAATCTAATACGTACATTAACAAATTTCACAGAATATATATTCTATCAGGCCTAAGAAATCCTCACCCACCCAACCAAAAGAAAGTCAGTTTCACCCACTGTAAGATAAACTATGATACTTTTATGTGGATCCAGAAAAAAAGAACTGCTAAACTCCAATGTAGTAGGAAAAATATTACAAATAAGCACCCAAAACTGACCTAAAATTTTCTACTCAATCCTGCAGGATGTCTTTTTTTTAAGAGAGAGAAATAAGCATCCCTTGCAACCTGACTGGAAAGATTATTACCTGACCAATTATTTCTAAGCCTATACTAGAAACCAGTGTAAGATGGAATGCCAAAATCACCACCAACTCGACACTACCGTTATTTTTGCAAAGAAAGGTAGTTATGTAAAATTCCATTCTCCCAGGCAATGAACAGGAGAGAAAAACATGTTATTTTTTAAATGGCTACATTTATAGGTTTTTGAGTATCAGCACCAAATGTTCACTTTTAATTATTCTGAACAAATTTTTAGGAATTAATGTTTCCTAACAAAATGGACTAACAAAACAGTGAATAAGGAAATGACTTTCAAGCAATATTTGCATGCTGATAAGAACCATCAAGTAAAACAGCGATTGGTTCATTTCCAAAGCTACTGTGGGTGTGCACCGTTTGGAAATAGTGTATCTCACTGCTCAGCTAATATAGCTACTCTCCAAACCATGGGTACAGCGTATCTTATTTTGTGACTAGGCAAGATTAAGTAAAACAAGTTGAAAAGATTTTTTAAAAAAGCAAGTTAAATCAAAATAATCCATTGTTAGAATAGTTTTCTACTTTCTCTTTTAGGGAAGAAAAAAAAAAAACCCATCAAACCACTGTATAAAGTGTCTACATAAAAAACTGAAATCAAGATTCACAAATAATAGTGTCAGTTCAATTCTACATAACCCTTTATTATATTTATAGCAGTATTATGACCAACATTACACAAGTTTTATTTCTTCCTCATATCGTAGCAAATTTATTTTCATAAGAGTTCAACTCTGCAAATGGTTTAAATCAACTTTTTGCACCTTGAATTTACAAACCATTAGATACTAAGTTTCCTGAAATACATTTTATTTTTAAATTTTACTTAAAGCTACAACTAAACCCAAGTCTCTTGGGGGCGGGGGTGGGGGGAGTAGGCGGGGAACCAACTAAGCTGTTTAAACTGAAACTTGTAAAAAATATTCTGATGCCAGTGTTTGAAAGATAGCCTACAGAAGATTATAAAAGGTCAACGATCATACAAGAGAATTCTATGGCCAAACCTTGTTAGAAAATTTGTTTGACAAATAAACTTCTTTCATAATAGAAGAGGAATTGAAAAGATATTTAATTTCCCCCTAAAAGTAAGTAGTTGCTCAGAACATAGGTTGGATGTATGGAAATTATATTGCTTCTGTGAAAAAATGTTTTATCCAGGCATTCCACTAACAAAACGCCATGCCATATCTACCTAGCCTTTGATATGTGGGTATTAGTATTACCCAAGAGAAACTTATCAAAGAAAATGCTTAGCAAACCACCAAACAGGAGTCTCAGGTTCCTTAATTTGGATAGTCATCTTAGTAAATATAAAACTTAAGCTACTTGAACACTGGGGCTTATAAAGTGCATCAGGTATAAGAAACACAACAGTAGTGTGAAACTCAGTAGGACTTTAAGGGACTTAATATCACCGGTGGGGCAAAAAAACAACATTATAGTTTTCTGTTCAGATTTTATTTGAAATCTAATTCAAATTGTCAAAGCTACAAAAGGGGGGAAGACATCTGTATTATTTTTGCTAAGTCACAACATCCTAAAAATACTACTACTGTCAGCAGATCCATTATACACATTTCTGATGAAATCCATTAGAACAATAAAAATTTCATCTTGAGAAATAGCCACAATGAAAGTAATTTACACAATATAAAACAATGACATCTACAGATGCAGTTGCTCATGAGTTTACACATGCATACACAAACAAACAAACAAAAAACCCCAGGAATGCTCTTTCATTTGATTTTTTGTTTTTGTTTTTTTAAAAAACAGACCGTTCAGGCACAAAACAAATCGCATTTCCAATAAGTGACAGCATCTTAAAAATTTACGTCAGTGTTTGTTTTTCTTTGACTTTTTATGAGACCTGTGTGGAGATCTGGACTGGGATCTGGACTTCTTCCCTGATTTTTTAGGGGATCTAGACCGTGATCGCCTAGACCTCTTAGGTGTCCTTGAACCAGATGGTGATCTAAGGAAACAAAAAAATCCCAATTGATAAAGAAAGAACTCATGTGATCAAAATTGATTATCCTTAAACTATTGAAAATGACCTTTAACAGAGCATGGTGAAAAATCACTGGAATAAGACTATGAACTTCTAAACTTTAAACTCTATTATACATACACACACACGGATTTATTTTGTACTTACTATGCACTGCATCAATGATCATCAGTAGAGCACTTGTTTACAAAGACAGATTTCTGTGCCTTATCACTGCTCTACTGAATCAAAATCTCTGGAGGTTAGAACTAAGAATTCGCATTTTTAACAAGCTCCCCAAGTGACCGATAACCCCCAAATTTGAACCTTTAATCTACAAGATAAAGTTCAAAGTTGCACCTAAGATCATTCGCAAAATTTAAAAAACACAGCAGCTTTGAAGTTTATCACCTTGAAGCAAACAACTACTGCAGTATCATTCAAGGGCATCATTTAAGACATTATAATTTTGTAAGTGCTGTGTATGAAGATTACTCAAACCAATAAACACACATGTACATATACATACATATATAACACATACATACATATATATGCAAGTGCCATTTAGAAAAGGAGAAAGGTATCTATTCTATAAAGATTTCACTAAAAATAGTTACAGTAATAAAGTATTAGCATATAAAGCAGTTTTAGCTCTTAGGAAAATTCCTCTATGTATCACCAGATAAATAATACATTTCTGAACCATTTTTCTGGAACTAAAGGAAAAAAGTATATGAAATACTAAAATACATACTGAAAAAAACGTATTTATGATATGTATTTCCAAAAGTATCTACCCAAGAACTTGCTAATAATATTGCTATGGGGGAAAAATGTATGTTGCTTTCAGCTTTGACAAAAATCCAATAATATTCTATAGAAACTAAAGAACAGAATGAAAAGTAAAGCAGCTAACCCTATTCCACAGAAAACATTGGATATGATGTTTAAAATTCTTGGCTGGTCCTCACTTGTTGGAAGCCTTCACTTCAGTCATGAAAGAGATCGAGATGAGGAGGTGGGGAGGAATAACCAAAAATGAAAGTGTACCTCTTTGGTTTTCTAAAATCCTTAAAAAAAAAATGTATGCCAACCAAATTATTTTCAAAAGCTGATGAAATGACAAGGAAACTAGTATCTGAAATATTAGCAAAAATGACTTGCATTTACCTTTTGGCTTTTTTGCTAACATCTCTAGGAGAATCTTTGTGAGATGACCTGGACCGTGAGCTCTCTTTATGAGATCTTTCTGAACGCTCTGATCGCTCCGATTTTGGTGATGGGGATTTCACTCGTCTACCACTGCTACTGCGAGATGGGCTGGGGGATGTACTGTGTCGCCTCTTCCTATGGAACAAAGCCCCCAAAACATTCCATAAATGAGCAAAGGATCAGGTATTCATTTTCCTTTACTAAATTAGCTATTAATTCCTACCAGCTTACTCTAACTTTTATTCTAACCATGTAATGTTACTTTTAACAATATTCAAAGTCCTTTGTAACAAGAACAAGTAAGTCTTAAAGATAGGTTGTCAAGAGACAACAACTGAATTCAACTAAATTGGATTTTCTCTTTGCAATGAGAGAGGTTATTAAAACAACTGGCAAAATTCAATTAAGGTCTCTGGATTAAATATCAGTTTTTTTAAATGTTAATTTCCTAAACTGATTATTTTTATTGTGGTTAAATGAATGTGGTTAAGAGAATGGGGCATCATGTTGGCAAATTATTCTTAAATGGTTGGAGATGGGACAGAAGAGGAAGAATAAAGCGAAAGTAGAAATACTTTAACATTTGGGTAATGTGGGTGAAGGGTAACTATCAATTATACTATTCTTGCAACTTTCCTATAAATCTAAAATTATGTCATAATAGTAATAAAAGACAAAAAAGTGGCAAACTTTTAACCAATTGGCATAACTTGTTATTTGTAACTATCTGTAGAGTGACTAAGCTAGATTATTATTTGCAACAATAGGTCTTTTTATTAGGAAAACCTCAGTTCAGTTAAAGGAAACAATTTTCTTTACTCAATCAGATTTAGGAACTGTGAGAGTAAGAAATAAAAACGGAAAGAGAAATGCTTTTGATTAGAATGAAGACTTAAAGTGACCTATGGCCTATGTAACAATCTCCTTTAAAGATAAGACTAAGACTCAAGTTGACAAGTAGCAGCCTCAAGCACAAATACTGGGAAAAAATGCTTAAATTGGATGCAACAAGGAAGATCTAGCAAGTTGTTTTGTTACACAAGCCTCAGGTTTGATATCTAATACTGTAATTGAATTCTTGCACTGAACTAAGGCTAAGGATACCATATAAACCATGTGAAGGGATGATGCACCCAGTTAACTAAGTGCCAACTAAATGCCCCATTTCTCTGCTACTTCCGCCTTCTGCAAGCAGGACCCAAACAAGTTTATCATGAACAAACATTTCCAGTTTGCTGGCATCAATAATGAAAATATTATAAAACACCACTGCAAATCTTGAAACCACTAAATGCATTAAATATGAGAAATGTTATACCTTTCCTTCCTTGTCGGAGTACACTCATCTTTTTCCTTCTTGTCTTTGGAGCGAGATTCCAATTTTTCTTTATCTTTCTTGTCTCTTTCTCGTTCTCTTTCTAACTCTTTCTCTTTCTCCTGTTATTTTTTATAAAAAATATTAAGTTGTTTAAAAGTATCAATCTGGGTTAATCTCATTTATATAACAATATTTTCTCTTATAGGAAATAATTTTTAAAATTACTACTTAAGGTACAATACTGTTTTAAAAAAAAATCTACCCCTCCAGGGAAAACTAGTCATTTCTTTTGCTTATACTAAATAAAACTAATCCTAGCAACAGCAGCTAAACATTTACGGAGTGCTTACCATAGGCCAAACAATGTACTAAACAACTTTCCACAGACCATTTCATGCAATCATTTAAAGCATCCCTAAGAAAATTATTATTATCCTCATTCTAGAGATGAAAATTGAGACTCAGAAAGATTAAGTACCATGTCCATGGTCACACAGGAGAGTCAGGTCAGAATTTGAGACCAAGCTCTAGAATCAGAGCTCTTCCCCTACTGTCCCACCTGCCGAAAAGTTCGAATCAGAAAAAGCCAACAATGTACTGCCCTATCCATCATAAGTTACAATAAAATAGTCAGTAGAAAGTGATCCCTCTAACTATAAACAAGTTGATTTAATCAAAAAGAGCTCTTACCAAAGAAAAAAGGCTGGAAAAGGAAAATGGTTATTCATAGTATCTTCCATCAAAATTTTATTAGTGGGAAACAAGTACCAATTACACTGCAAATTTTAAATCCTAAATACAAACTGACTACATGACTCTACAATAAACCAAAAAAATAACATATTTGCATGCTACAACTGTCACTTCTCATTTCAAATTCTGATTTCCGCATACAAAGGAGTGGCTACGGACAATAAATCCACAAAACTAACTAAGTTCTTCATTAACAGGAATTTAATTTCTCTATGATTTATATGCATCAAGCAAGCTATGTGATAGCTGATTCTTCTAATTTTTAAAAGGTGAAAAAAGCCTATACCAGAAGCTGGCAAACACTTTTTATACAGAGCCAGACAGTAAATACTTTATGGGCCACATACAGTCTCTGTCACAACTACTCCACCCTGCCACAGCAGAGTGAAAGCCACCCTACAAAATACCTAAGTCAATGTGCATAGCTGTGTTCTAATACAACTATTTACAGAATCAGGCAAAGATCATGTTCCTTCTCTCCAATTATAATCATAGAGTGCAAGGAGACTAAAGTGGTAATATAAGTATTATTCATTTTGTGCTTGCTACCATCAGAACAGTAAGCATCTCAAGGCGTAATTTCCTATGGGGGTATAGGTAAGCAGCATCTTTTTTTTTTTTCTTTGAGACAGTTTTTCAAGCTTGTTGCCCAGGCTTTTTCAAGCTTGTTGCCCAGGCTTTTTCAAGCTTGTTGCCCAGGCTAGAGTGTAATGGCGCCATCTCGGCTCACTGCAACCTCCGCTTCCCAGGTTCAAGTGATTCTCCTGCCTCAGTCTCTTGAGTAGCTGGGATTACAGGCATGTGCCACCATGCCCCGCTAATTTTGTATTTTTTTAGTAGAGACGGGGTTTCTCCATGTTGGTCAGGCTGGTCTCGAACTCCTGACCTCGGGTGATCTGCCCACCTCAGCCTCCCAAAGTGCTGGGATTACAGGCATGAGCCACTGCGCCTGGCCATAAGTAGCATCTTTTACAAAATCTCATTTATCTTTTTTCCAAATATATAGAGTGCAACTTTTTAAAGAGTAGTGCTGAGCAGACTGACTTCTCTGGTGATCTGTAGGATGCATTTCCTGATTGATAATGAAAATGATTTCCTGATTCAGATGTCTACTTTACAGGAACCATAGTATAGCTAAAATACTTATAATGAAGAGTAACAGTAAAAACAGTAGCTATTATCTAACTCATAATCTTACAAAATTGGGAATATCAACCCAGTTTCAGAGAAAAAGCAGGCTACAGTGACTTGCCTAGGAGTACGCAGCAGAGAGCGGCACCACAGTTGCTCTACCAGACTCCTCCCCGACACCAGTTTTGTATATTAACAACTTCATAGTGATTGTAAGTTCCCTTTTTATGGCTCTTTCCTATTTCACTTTCTATATAATCTCATTATTATTATTACTCTTTGCAATGACAGTCAAAATTAATAGCAGTCTCAATAAAATTCCTGGAGTTCCTGGTTCTAAAATTCTCTGCATGTTCCTATAAATTTTGTGATGCACGAGAAGATAAAGTGCCTCAAACACTCAAAGCTCACCAATGAGGTATTCTACCACTTGCTGTCCCTCCTTGGAAACCATGAGAAATGAAATAAACTTCTCAACACCAGAACTTCCCAAACCCTGCCTCCATCTTTTTCTTTCTGTACCACCTCTCAGGGTTGTTGGTGTCTCACCGTCACAAATGTGACTTGTCCTGAAGGGTTTTCCAGTTTCAAAAGCATGCTGTTAGAATTAATCTTCTTGTCCACAGGTAGTACCCAGAATAAAATAGTGTGCTGTTGCCTTTCAGCTCCTTTCCAATCCAAACACTTTTAAAATATCAAATTTCAAATGTTTCTAATTGTCTACCAGTATTCAAAATTTATACAAAGGATATAATTTGAAATCATCCTTAGGTATACCAATATTCTAGGAAGTCAAATAAATAACTTCAAAAAATGTGTATTGTTGGGTATACTTATTCCTTACTCGTTGAAGAAGTTTATCTCTGTAGTGTTCTACTTGCTCCTGAAAACTCTGGCCTGGTTTTTTAGGTCTTTTCCCAGATTCCAATTCATCCTGAAACTTCATAACTTTGAGCTGTGAAATAAAACATTTTAAAAATAAGCATTTTCATCATTCTAGATTCTCAAGCATTGTTTTGCTTCTTTTCTATAGCAAAGTAGTAACTAATTAGTACTTAGTCAAAATATAACCTCACCTGAAGGCCAATTGTCAGACAAGTCCAACTAGGCAAAAATCAGCTGACCAGATGGGAGCCCTCTCTGGTCATGAGAGGATTCAAAAACCATGAGTCGTGCTTCATGGCTGTAAGAACCCACTTACTCTCAACACAATTATAACAAATTTGGTATCTGGTTCCCCAAATCAGAAAAGCAAGGTTGCTAAAGGCAAGCACACTGCCAGCAAGATATGACAGTCAGCAGAATGCAGATAAACATCTTTAAAAAACAGGCGGGGGTGGAAGGTGGGAGGGCTGTGACATTCCGGTTCAGCTCATGTAAGACCAAACACACAAAGCTGCACACAGTCTGAAGATCTCACTCACAGTGCAACCACTAGACATCAAAACACAAAGAAAAGGTTAAATCATATTTGGAGGGTACTTTATAAGACAGTAAGAGCAAATACTGATTAAAACAGATCAGGCCGGGCGCAGTGGCTCACGCCTGTAATCCCAGCACTTTGGGAGGCTGAGGCAGGCGGATCACCTGAGGTCGGGAGTTCGAGACCAGCCTGACCACCATGGAGAAACCCCATCTCTACTAAAAATACAAAATTAGCCAGGCATGGTGGTGCATGCCTATAATCCCAACTACTCAGGGGGCTGAGTCAGGAGAATCGCTTGAACCCGGTGGGTGGAGGTTGCAGTGAGCCGAGATGGTGCCATTCCACTCCAGCGTGGGCAACAAGAGCAAAACTCCATCTCAAAAAAAACAACAAAACAGAAAAACTTCCATCTCTTATTACCTATATAAGTGGACAAAGGTATTTGTACAAAATATTCATTGTAGCATTGTTTGTAAAAACAGACCACCTAGATAGATGTTTACCCAGAGATTTCTGGCCAATACACCTACACACAAACACATACATATAATATATAATGGCAATGGATAAAGATGTGAAAAAACTAGTAAAATCAGTTACAGGGAGAGAAAAAACCTGCAATAAGTGAGCTTAATTTTGCTTTTTATTCTGGAGATATAAGTATCTTAAAATTGTGTACTATATAAAAATAGTAAAAAGAATACATTCATTATTTATTTTGAATTTAAAAATAAAGACTTCACAAAGTAGTTAAAATAAAAACTACCCTAAGGCTTAAAGGAGCTTAAATTACCCAAAAAATTTACAAGGGTGAAAATACCTTCTTCTTGATTTCTAAGGGAGGACTAATAAGGTGGAAAAGTATGAGGACCTGGAAGATCCTCCAAGTGGTAGAAAGCACATGGATCTTGGATGGTACCACTGGGCTGCCAATCTGCTCAATATTGTTCCACTCAAAGAGAAACAGGAAACATTCTTGTCCCACGAAATTGCTGTAGATGCCAACATTTTATCCTATTTTATTCAGACATTGATATATCCTTTAAATGGACTAAATGCTGCTACAGCATTTTATTTATACTTCAAAACAAGACCTCATTTGCTTTTTACCCCCTTTACTACAACTTAGTTTTTACCATTTCTCCCCATTCTAAGTGGTATTTTCTTTTTTTTTTTTTTTTTATTTTGAGATGGAGTCTTACTCTGTCGCCCAGACTGGAGCGCAGCGGCACAATCTCGGCTCACTAGAACCTCCACCTCCCAGGTTCAAGCGATTCTCCTGCCTCAGCTTCCGAAGTAGCGGGGTTACAAGGCACATGCCATGAAGCCTGGCTAATTTTTGAATTTTTTTTTTTTTTTTTTGGCAGAGATGGGGTTTTGCCATGTTGGCCAGGTTAGTCTCGCAACTTCTGACCCTCAGGTGATCCACCGACCTTGGCCTCCCAAAGTATTGGAATCACAGGCGTGAGCCGCCATGCCTGGCCTCAACTGGCATTTTCACTATTTTTGACTTCATGAATGTTTCTTCTACATTCTCCAATTTTGTCCTTTTTCCATCTGTTTTCGCTTTTTTTTTTTTTTAATTAATTATTTTTTGAGACAGTGTCTCACTCACCCAGGCTGGAGTGCAGTGGCAGTTATCTCAGCTCACTGCAACCTCCACCTCCCAGACAGAGTCTCCCAGGTTCCTGCCTCAGCCTCCATGCCTAATTTTTGTATTTTTAGTAGAGACAGGGTTTCACCCTGTTGGCCAGGCTGGTCTCAAACTGCCCACCTTGGCCTCCCAAAGTGGTGGAATTTCAGACATATTTTCACTTCTATAATCAGGGTCTTTTATAATCAGAGCTTGATGTTCTCTCCTTCTCTTCTTTCAAAGCTCTCTAAAAGTCTACATTTTTTTGTGTGTTTTAATCATGACTGCATTTAAAAAGATAAGATGTAAGGCTAAGAAAGCAAGGGGGTGGGGTGGGGTGGGCAACATAAATAGCTAAGTTCATCACTGTGTGAAGCCTCTCGTGACCAAGATGACTCTTCCACAGAATGTATTTGTAGTAAATCGGTTTGGGTTAAAAAGAGTCAAACAATAGACCGGAATGTTACTTAGGAGAGAGGAGGGATTCCTAAGATCATCTTTTTAAAAATCACTGTACAGGCGCCTGCCACCTCGCCCGGCTAAGTTTTTGTATTTTTAGTAGAGACGGGGTTTCAGGTTTCACTGTGTTAGCCAGGATGGTCTCGATCTCCTGACCTCGTGATCCGCCCGTCTCGGCCTCCCAAAGTGCTGGGATTACAGGCTTGAGCCACCTCGCTACTCGGGAGGCTGAGGCAGGAGAATGGCATGAACCCGGGAGGCGGAGCTTGCAGTGAGCTGAGATCCGGCCACTGCACTCCAGCCTGGGTGACAGAGCAAGACTCTGTCTCAAAAAAAAAAAAAAAAATCACTGTACAATTCCTACTTATAGTTCCTGTTAATATAGTCTAACCGAGGCTCAAGCACAAGTCCAAGACACACAGAAAACAGATGATCAAGAGTCTCAACACAAAAGGAAGTGGCCCATGCAATGGCTTAACCATCCCTCCCTTGTTGCCTTCAGGCAACAGACAGTTATCACCTTCCGACTCAACTGTTCACTCTTTCCTCAGGGACCAGGACAGAAAGTGATCCCTCTCTTCCAACAAGATAGAAGACCCTCCACTTGGTTCCCCACCCACTATTCTACTTGTTGGTAGAAATGGGGACAACAGAATGAGAAAAGGTAACTCCAGCCTAGGCACTGCTCTCAGTGGTATCTGAAAGATTAAGAACTGGCTTCTGGCCACCACCACATCATATAGCTACAAGATTTTTGTGTTTTTACAAAGCATGTTTTACAACACGAATCATTTGGTTTTTATTTACTCCATGCTAAAAAATGTTCAGCTATAGGTATCTTTATTAGGACACATGTGGAGATGCAAAATTATCGTATATACACTATAGAATATAATAGAACTAATTAGAGAAACTAATTTAGAACTTAATTCTTTATTTAATGGTTCTCCAATAAAAGGGTTAGTACTCACTGGATTCTAAATCTCGAAATGGATATCCAAATTTAGGGGCAGAGAAGAGAGCTAGTTGTGAAAAGCCCTGGGATAAAGCTCATGAGCCCTGAGTTCTAGTCCAAGTTTGCCACCTGTTGTGGAACTTTATTCCATATGACTAAATCTCTCAGGGGAAATACAGGAGAAGGATTAGATAATTCTAAGATGAAGCCAAGATACACATTTTAAAATCAGGACTTAGTTCATAGTCCAAATCCCGGAAAGAAAACTAAGTTGTAAGAGGCAGTACCTAAGAAAGCAGGAGAAATAATCACTGAATACATAAAGGAGAGGCTAGATTACAAAAGAGCACATGTAGTATGGAAATGTATGCATATAAGGTGTATGTGTGCAATGTGCATGCATGTGTATCGCATATACACATATACAAGGTGGAAAGAATAAGATTTGTAAAAACCACCTAAGTTAACAAAAAAGCTAAATTATATGGTTTCCTCTCTTTAAGTTAATAAGGAAATAGAACATTCTAAACAGCTGGGGCATTTATATAAGGGAATAGCTTCTATTATCAAGAAAATGTATTTTTATTTAACTCGAGTCTGTTTCTACTCCAACAGTTTCATCAGGTCAGAGAAAGGCAGAGCTTCTCATAAGGTGAGAGGTGTAAAAGAGGGGCATATGTAGGTTGAAAAGGTGCACAGGTGAGTGTGTTCACTGACATACATTTTATCCCCCTAAAAATCATATTTAAAATGTGTATGAATACATCCCAGGAAAAAATAAATCAACTAATCAACTCTGAAAATCCTTCATGTCTACTTATAAATGACACCACGATGACTCTACGTAAGGTTAAAACAAAATGCTGTCTCTGTTTACTTTTCAGTTCGGTGATGTCTGACAAAGAGGTGGGCAAGAACTTGTATCAGCCCAACAGTGGTTATGTGGAGAAGTGGCAATGAGGTAACCAATGTGATAGGTATCATAAGTTAGTAAGGGAGACAGTACTAACATACAGTAGGCATTCAAAAATACTGTTCAATGAATGTATACAGTATGAAAATTCACTCTCATACATTCTTTAGAGGTTTGAGACTGATTGCTAAACTCCTGCTAGCATTTACTGGGAATATTTCATCCCCTTGAGGGCATTACAAAGCCCTTCTCTCTCTGACATGTCTGAATAGCCTTGGACAAAACAAAAGGCATTTAAAAAGGAGAGGGCGAGACCAGCCCGGGCAACATAGTGAGACGTAACCTCTATGCAAAAAAAAAAAAAAAAAAAATTAGTTGGGCTTGGTGGTGTACATCTGTAGTCCCAGCTACTCCAGAGGCTATCTCTTGAGCCTGGTAGCTTGACATTGCAGTAAGCTATGGTCACACCACTGCACTCCAGCGTGATCAACGGAGAGAAACCGTGTCTCCAAAAAAAAAAAAAAAAAAAAAAGAGAGAGAGGGGAGGGGGAAAAGGGAGGGAAATGTCTGCCTGAGATAGTCTGGGCTCTTCCATACATTTCCCCATTTTTTAGTATTAAGACCCACTCAATGTCTACTCTCCTCCATACTACAGGTACAGACATTAAAAATGAGCCTAATAAAATGTAAACATAACTAGAACATGCCAGAAATATTTTACTTTTTCCTAGTTACATACTATGAACACTCAAAATGAAATGGATTTCTCATAGTACCTAACATATAACGTATTACATATGTATATACATATAATCTAGATATTAGAATCCATTTCTTCAGAGGATCTCCTATGTGCCATGTATTAGAGATACAATGATGAAGAGAAAACAGACATGGTCTTTTCTCTTCATGGAAAGTACAGCCTACTGAGGAAGAAAGACATTAAATAAGCAAGTAAGCAAACGAACAAAATACACATTCACATACATAACTCACAATACATATAAAATCACACAGTAATAAATAGGAAGAAGCAAGCAAGTCCAAAAGGGTAAGAAAAGGCTACTGTGAGTGAAAAGATGGTTGAAGAGGCCTGAAGAAAAGTCACCTGGTATGAAGAGTTCTAAGCAGAGAGAGGGAACAGTATGCACTAAGATATAATGCAATGAGGCAGCTTAGTTTGGTGGAGAAAGTGAAAAACCAATAAAGTGTAATTTAAGTTTCACTGCAACACCAACCTCAATTTCACGAAGTTTGGCTCGTTTTTCCTCACTCATTTCAGAGTACTTAGAGAACTTGGACTCAGTCATTTCTTCTTTGATTGGATTAGAGTACAAATGATGTTCTTCAGATTTGGAACTTTGAGTATCTTCTTCATCTTCACTTTCTTCTTCTTGACTTTAGAAATAAGCAGAATACATTATATGTCAAGGCAGCAAGAGTGTACTATATTTTATAGTCCACCTATTTTATTTTTCATTGTCTTAGAGCTTAAATAATGCAACCAAAACATAATAGGACAATTCATACCTCAAGCATTTTTTGCAAAATATTTGATCAATATTTTATAGACAATTTTATAAAACACTTCTTTCCTCCACAGAAAATGTGTGAGCTTCAACATAAGCATACTTTAATAAATTCTGCTTATGTTATCTGTGTGCCTTCCATTTGCAACAAACTTTCCTTGCAGCAGTTAAATGAAACGAATAATCTAGTTTCTGCATACTTCACAGTTCAGAGTGATTTCAAGAAGCTTCATGTTTTCCATTCCTGAGTTACTTCACTCATATTATTGTGAGTAACAATATTCAAATATTGTATGTTCTCATTTATAAGTGAAAGTTAAGCTACAAGGATGCAAAGGCATAAGAATAATACAATGGACTTCTGGGACATGGAAGGATGGGAGGGGGGTGAGGGATAAAAGACTATAGTATATATTGGGTACAGTGCTACATTGCTCAGGTGACAGGTGCACTAAAATCTCAGTAATCACCACTAAATAATATATTCATGTAACCCAAAACCACTTGTACCCCAAAAACTATTAAAATGAAAATAAAAATTAAAAAAGCTATATGTGAGACTTTAGTAACTTCAGCAGAGCCTATAATCAATCTAGAAAATTTACATGAGCTTGAGTCAGTTACTATGAAATAATCAACACAGCCGGTAAAGACCTTACCTGATTAGCACATAACCTTAATAACAAAGCAATGTATGCATTTTATATATTAGCAAATATCAGTATTCACATTTTAGTTGATTCTGAAAGTTGCACTGGTTCTGGGTCAGACAGGAAGAAAATAAAAACCTGAGAGACTATCATGAGTAAGTCACTTAGAATACAAAGAAGAAAAATTCTCCTGTCCTTCCAGAAGCTGTCTAGTGGAAACACAAACAGGAAACTATGTGTAAAGCTGGTCATCAATGCTAGTACAGGATTAACAAAATGTTCTTGAAGCACAAAGAATGAATGGGTTTTTAAAAAATATATTTTACATTCTGGGACTGGGTTGTGTGTGTGTATGTATTATTGGCAAATAAATCTGGGCAAAACAAGATACCCATGTACAAACAAACTCAGAATGTTTATGTATATACAAACAAAATTCCTACAAACAATGTTGACTGTGATAACAACATTACTGGCATAACCTAGAACAAATGCTGTTTTGCCTTTAATACTTGAACCTCACAAGCCTTTCTGTTAGTATTTGGGTACTAAGGACATTCTACGATAAGCAGAAAGATTCCTTTTAATACACATGTAGAATTATTCCTAATAATGTAAAAATGGTTATAAACAAATTCTTTCCAAATAAAATTTAATTAAAGTCTTACGTAATAAGACCTTCCTTGTATGACAGAAAAATTTACGCCAGGCAGATATAAAGAAAGGCTGTCAATTCAGAATCAGAAAAGATATGATACTGAGAAAATTCTGATACTAGTTTTTAAATTTCTCAACCAAAGGTCCTTTCTAGACATTACTAAAATATTTTACTAACTCCATCTTCAGAACCACACAAATCATTAATATCACCATATGGGTACAACTAAATACAATATTAGTTAAGGAAGAAAAAAGTCCAAACCAACAGTTTAAAAATATTCTTTTTGGAAAAAAAGTTTTACTTAATATTTCTCATTAATTTGTCAGTAATTTCCTAAATATACTTTTTAGTTAATTTTTTTTAAACACAAGAATTTCCTGTTTTATGGTACACAAAATTTTACAAGTGTTTCAGATGCTTTTAGATTGTTGAAGTGTATGTCTGTTTATGTAAACAGGGATGTTTACTGAAGAATTATTTTAGAAGAGTCAATAAGGACATGACTTTGTTAAACTGAGTCACAGTTACTATAAAATACAATACAGCAGATATTGATTACTTAACCAATTCTAGCCTGTAAAATTTTTTCTAATTTTTTTGCAATTTCAAATATTCTTTGGTAAACATCCTTGTATGCTTACCCAAATGTTTGTTTTCAATAATAGATGAACACAGAACAGGTAAATAGATTAAAATGGAATAATACCAATGATACTGAATGAAAAACGTGTCACAGAATAGTATGTACAGTAGTATTACATCATTTACGTTCAAAGAGCTATGCATGTTTTTATATACACAGAAAGGGTCTAGATGGTTGAACATTAACATTTAACCATATTACTTAAGACTTTTTAAATGAGCTCTATTCATGATTTAAAATATGTAAATATTTTAAATTGCTATTATAATTTTTTCAAGGCTTAAGCAGTTTTTCTAAACTGGTTTTGGCCTTAGCTTTTAGTCACAATTCGAGGTTCAAATCATATCATAGCTTATTCCTCTTGTTCTTTAAAAAGACATGCAAATTCAAGATTCTAAATCAATACAGTATTCAATACAAATGCAATTGCTTTTTGTAACTTTTCTCCAAAACGTGCTTTAAAAATCACATTTCTGCCACAAATCACAATATTGCCACAAAATACAGTAATTACTAGTTACAAAATCAGCCTTAAGTAAAAAGGCATTTAGGATTCAGCCACTAGAGAGTAGTAGTGAGGCATGAGAAAATTTCAAGGATCAGAAGCTGAGCAAAAGCTTTTTTTCCTTGCTTTGTACTTTCAGTTATGTTTACATTATTATGATTTACCGAGAATTCCTAAAAAAAATGAAAAATCTAAAATTATACTTCTGGTGATCCAGGCTTCCATCATTGTATGATTATTTCAACATCAATGCTAAAATGTACTCATATTCCAAACATTAACACAAATATCAGTTTTATGCCAAAAAAAAAAAAAAAAACTAATACCTTTAGAAATAAAACTAATGAAACAATACTTTTTTCGGTTCAATGGCTTTTCTATCCTTCCTTCCCCCTAAATTAAATAATTATTTTATGAGTACATATACTACTTTTAAAGCAGTGATTCTAAAATGATAAGATGTTACTAATCATAGGATCATGAACATAAAAAGGGTTCAGAAAACCACTGTTTTAAAGCAAACTGAACTAAACTATTCTCAATTCGTGTATTCCTAAACAGCCTCAGACAGCTATTTCCATTAGCAAGCCACATCTATATTTTGTAAGTATTTTGTCATCATCACTGCTGACTTGTTCTAATCATACCAACATTTCTAAAAAACAACATTGTAGACAAGTTTTCACCATCATATCAAACTGTGTTTCTATAGCCTGCTGACTGATCACATTTTCCCAACAATCCAAATGCCCATTTATTAAATCCACACAAATGCCCATATTGTGCTAGGACACACACGGGCTTTCTCTTTGCTCTCACTTCCATCTGAGAACAATAGAAGAATGCAAAATTTTAAAAGACAGTAACCTGTGCTTTGTGTTTGTGATAACCATCTCTTCTACTCATTTAAAAAAAAAAAAAAAAATCAACTCCCTTTGCAATGATTTTGAAAAGTGTCAAGCACTTCCTAAAAACTACCAATATAAACTTGCAGGAGAATCTAAGAGCAGAGTGTCAAATACAGAAACAATTTTGGGGTGATTACCAAACAGCAAAATCAAAATTATTTCTCTGTATTTCAAAAGAAAAGATTTTTTTTCCTTTGTATTCATTCTTAGTTCTTCTGAAAGGTTTATATTTAAATTAACACAATGGCCATAATGCAGTATTTTTCTTAGCAATGTACAATCCAAAAGAAAGGAGTATAACCTTTCCTACTCACATTTTAAAAACCACTTTTTGTGGAGCCCAAAACAATATTTGATGGCAAAGATTTGAAACAAATGCAGTTGACCAATTAGTAACTACAAAGTGAGAATGTAACCCAGCGTAAAAAACTCACAAGCAAAATGAAACCAGATCCATCAAGACCAGAAAGCAAAAGTGAAGTTTTCCACTTCACTATTATTTCAACTATATCTCTTAATGAAAAAGGGAATGTATATGAACAAGAAACAGTATATTTGGAACTTAGATTCTTACTTTTGATTTTCTTCTTCTTCTGATTCTTCATGCTGGTCAAATAATTCCCATTTAGAAGTTGTAACAGCTGAATAGAAGGAAAAAGAGGATGTAATTCCATGAGGTAAACTAGCATTTTTGCAGCAGCACAGTGGAAGCTCAAGCTTTAGAACTGAAAAGTTTATATTACAGAAGTTTCCTTTATCTATGTTTATCAATTCTCTAAATAGCTATTTATATGCCAATTCTCTTTCCTCACACCTACAGTATAATTCAAATTCATGAAGTGATGAATAATGTCATCCCTGTTTCTGTGTTGAATATTAAGATTTCATTAGAACCTACAAATAGTAACAATTATGGATTATCAGCACTAGGATACAGGTCTAAGTAAGTGTGAGACAGGTCTAAATGGCATCTAATCAGTCTAGGATTATGGGAGGGTCAAATCAAAAAGTTTCTCTGAAACTGACCTCTATGTAGATTTCTACGTAGGTACAGCTTCCTATCTACATTTACTACTAAAATGCCTTAACTTGAAAGGTTTTCAGTGATATCTCATTACTCTCAAAGCCTCCAAACTGAAGGACCTAAGAAAATTGTAACAGCAACACCAACCACAATAAAAGTGTACATTAGACACAAAATACGGTAACATTGAGTATTAAGGTTAAAATGTGTTACAAAACATAAAAGGAAAACATATATACAAGCACACCAATAAATAACTTATTAAGTACTTAATGTAAAAAATACTCATTTTACTTTTACTCACCCTGTGCTTCCAATTCAGATTCATCCACAGCTTCCCATTTTGATGGGGCAACTTTAAATATAGGCTCATTCTTCTTTGAGTCTTCAGTTGCATCCACTATTAGGGAAGATAAGCCATTAACCCTGACGACTAGGGGATGATGCAAAGTATTACGTTCATGGGTGTTCACCATATTATTAAAAAGCAAAGTAAAATAAGGACACGGATGGACCAACCGTAATCCTGAGAACAAGGACTATGACTAAACCAATTCTCTGCATCTGAGGGCAAAATTTTTAACAGTATATATTATATCAATTCAGAAAATACAGGTTAGTAATATATTAAGCAAGTGAAGAAGTTGAGAAGTAAAACAAATCTTTAACAAATCTCTACAAAACTGCATACATTATTCAATATTTAAACATATAATTCAAATGTACCAAAGAGCTGTGTACAGTTCCTATTTTCAAAATGGTTCTAGGCAGCTAGGAAAACTGAAGTTGTAGGTTAGAAAAACTAATAATAATACAGAACTGATAAAACCAGGTACCCAGGAATATGCATAATTGAACACAAGATTTTGCCTATAATTTCCTGACAATTAAGACAAAAAGAGAAACTTGCTAATGTTATAGAAGGCTGACTGTCCCAGCAAAGAAATGTGACCAGAAAAAATGCTGCTTCTTGGCCTTTTATATACATAGCATACAAATAAATGTATTACTGGGTATTTGAATTTTGAAAAAATCAGAAATAGTTAACTTGATACCTTCATGAGAAACTATAACCTTCTTCCATATCAGCATGTATGGAAATTAAAGTTTTGGTCACCAAACTTATTAGCTAGATTTAATCAGTTTGAAATTTGAACTTACAAGGCACTCCATCAAGATCATCATCAAGACTTTTTATAGGGACTCCATCAAGATCATCAATGGGAGTAGCATCAATAGGAATTCCATCTACATCTTCCAGAGGTGCACCATCAAGCTCTTCCTCAATGGGGGCACCATCAAGGTCATCTGGAACATCCTATGGAAATGTGTACTATTGTAACATTTTCCTTTGCTTGCTGAAGTCACACTGCTTGTAAGATTAATTTGTAATCCAGTACAAGCCAACATACCAGGATACCCACAATCCAAGGTACATTGTAAGAACATAGTAAGAATATATATTCTATCATCCAGTTTGCTAAAGAAGCAGTCAGTTGTGCATTTATCTAACATTTACCAAGTGTTCACTGGTGCCAGGTACCATGTAAGGAAATGATGAGCAAAAACAAATTTGGTCCCCCTGTTACAGAGCCTGGTAAAGGTTTTTGTTGTTGTTTTGGGGGGTGGGGAAACCAGGAAATCAGATCATCACAACAATATATACTTATCTGTAACTATGGTAACTGCTACAGCAAAAAGGCGTATCATACTATTAGCATAATAAGTTTCACTTAAAGAGGTCAGAGAAGGCTCTCTAAGGTTATATCTGAGCTGAGATCTGAAGGATCTCAGGTAAAGATAAGTCCCAGAAAGAGGGAAGGACATGTATACAGGCCAATGGTAGGTGAAAACACACATTTAGGAAACTGAAACAAGGACCATGTGGGTTACAACAGCAAGGTCAATTAGGAAGATCCTGCAGGAGTGAAAGTGAAAATATAGTAGCTTGACTAGTAAGGCAGAATTAAACATTAAGGGTTCAGTAATTATTTAGGAGGTAAAGAAAAACAACAGAACGGTGGTGTATATCTGCTATCATGTGATGCATCTTTTCATGAACATATTTTACTTATATAGCTATCTTTAACAAAATAAAGTCATGCTACATATATACTGCTCTATTACTTGCTTTTTTTCTACTATTAATATCATAAGTCTTAGGTCATTAAATAAAAAACCACTCATCAATTTTCACATAAGGACACAAGACAGAGAATTCCTGTTATATGTAATTTTGACTCCTGGGTTCCAGCAATAAAAATCCACTATTTAGTGGTAAGCAACAGATATTTTTCACAAAGAAATATACCTCGCATATGTAATGCAGCATAACTCCAAGAAACCTCCACCCCAGAAACGAATTTTAAAAACAACCAGACAAATACAGAGTGCCTACCTCTGTTTCCTTTTCTTCAATAATATTTACAAGTCCTAAGAAAATATTTTGTAGTTTGATCAAAAATGGTTCTGGATAAATTGCCCAATCTTCCCATGCTCTGAAGCAAGTCATTACCCGTTGCTAAATAAATAGGAAACAGATAACAAATTTTTATTTTGGGCTATATGTCTCAAATTTCAGTTCATGAGAATGACCATCAAGATTTGCTAAATTTGCCTTTAAAATGACATTTTTTAAGAAAATTACTATATATCATTACCATATTTTTTAAGAAAAATCAATGTCACCTTCTAATTAAAAGAAAAAAAACCCTAAAAATAAATATAATGAAAAATAAACAGTAGTTGTTTGCTCTTTACCACCTAAGGTCAGCTCCCATACCATTAGTACTACACATGAGCCACATTCAGGAAAGACTTACATAGAAACTTATGAAAACTTAAAACCAAAGTAGCCAAGTTTTGACCTGAATCCCCTTATGGTCCAGTAAAGTACTTCCTAATTCTGGTTAACACTTTACTCTGTATCTTCCCTAAACTTTTTTTAAAATTCTAACTTATGGTCAAAATTTAAGGTCAAAAACTTTAAAAATGGGAGTTGTCTGAATGCCCTAAATGGTGGGGTCACTGGGCATCTTCCCAAACTAAAAATTTTTCGTAAAAAAGTCATCTTCCCATGAAAGCATATTTACTTAGTCAATTATAAATAAAGTACTCCACCTGGCTTTTCTTAACACTGGCCTACATCTTAAGAGGTTATAAAAAAATTGGTAACAGAGCAGACTTTCTAAATATGATTAAAATGTATGTCTTTAATCCAGCCAAATAGTATATACCATTACAAAACAAGTGATTCTTCTGGCTGTTTCATGAAAAAAGACTAACATTTATAATATTTAAACAATACTTAAAACTAAAATTAAACACCTGTCAAAACAGTATCTTTTAAATTTTTGATTTTGATTAAAAAAATGACAGAATTTTAAAACACTAACTTCGGTAACATCTAAGTTTTAATTTTATGTGTCATACTTGTCTTATGTACTTTTCTAGCCCTTCAAGGCCCTCTCCCCCCACCCATTTAAAACACTAGGGCAAAAATAGTAAAACAATAAACGTACCTTAAAGTTTTCAGATTGTAAATGGCCTTGAATTGTACGATAGGTGGCATTGAGGTCTGAAAATATCTGACATAACTTTGTTTCAAAACTGAAATTCAAATAATACATTCTTTAAAATAAAATGTTTAAAATTCCTTTCCCCTTCAGCATGCCAGCCAATGAAAACCCCTCCTGAACTTAAAATACCTACAAATTAATCAAGAAATTATTAAAAATCAAAAACTAGGTGTTTAAACTCTAAAACCGTAACTGAATTGCTTTAACTCTTATTACTCTGAATTTTTCTCCTACAAACTCCCCAACAGTCCCCACTATCTCCCTTTATAAGCAAGAAACATTACATCTAGGATATGTTGAACCATCTCATCCAATTTCTTTATTTTATAAAACAGAAAACTTAGAAAAGGGTGACGCATCCAAGGCAAAAAAACTAATAGCAGACATAAGAGTAGGACTCAGATCTCTAAATTTCTTTTCAGAGCAACTTCCTAGGGAAAAGCTTCCCTTTGCCTAATTCAAAAAATAAACACAGAAAGAGAGCTCTGGGGAACTGAGAAAAAGTTACACTTTTTTTTTTTTTGAGACGGAGTTTGGCTCTTGTCACCCAGGCTACAGTGCAATGGCGCAATCTCAGCTCACTGCAACCTCCGCCTCCCGGGTTCAAGCAATTCTCCTGCCTCAGCTTCCTGAGTAGCTGGGATTACAGGGCTATACCACCACACCTGGCTAATCTTTGTATTTTTACTAGAGATGGGGTTTCACCACATTGGTCAGGGTGGTCTTGAACTTCTGACCTTAGGTAATCAGCCCTTCTCAGCCTCCCAAAGTGCTGAGATTACAGGCATGAGCCACTGTGCCCGGCTAAGTTATACATTAATTATAATACAGCAACATAACTTCCTTTTGCCTTAGGAAACATTAGCAATGAACTAAAATCAATATGCTAAGGATCAGAAGAGAATGCAGATTCTATAGTTAATAGTATGTCTTTGGTTTCTTATGTCTGCCAGTATATACACTGTTTCTACTTATTATATGAATAGCTAGATACGCAATAAAGTTCTCTTTAACACACACCTATTTGTTCTACTGTCAATAACTAAGAAAGTGATACGATATAAAATCTTTCCAAAAAAATTGGTAATTTAGCTTAAGTTTAAGCCAATTTTTTTAAAAAATTCTACAAACCATGAAGAAATTCAAATTAGTCTTCCCTCAGTATCCATAGGGGGACTGGTTCCAAGACCTTCCATGGACACCAAAATCCACAGATGCTCAAGTTCTTGATTGAAAATAACATAGTATTCACCTGTAACCTACCCACATCTTCCCATGGGTTAAATCATCTCTAGGTTACTTACAATACCTAATACAATGTAAACGCTATGCAGAGTTTTCATTACTGTATTGTTTAGAAAACGACAAGGAAAAACGTCTGTACGTGTTCGGTACAGTCTGTACGTGTTCGGTACAGATACAATTTTTCTTCTCAAATATTTTCAATTTGTGGTTGGTTGAATTCACGGATAAGGAACCCACAGACATGGAGGGCTGGCTGTATTTCTTATTCTTGGAGGACGTTAACAAAACAATCCTCTTTTCTGAACTCCTTACCCTTAAACACTTTATTTCAGGAATATCAGTTATATCATTATACTTACAATTTTCTATAATATGAAGCATTAGCAACTTTGGCTGAAGAGTTGTACAAAACATCAGAAACCAAATATAATCTGGCAATCTATAATACCAAAAGATAACACAAAATAGGTTAATGTAAGGCTAATGTTTAGCTATAATTTAATAATGGCTACTAATTAGAAGAGTTAAATGAAACTATCACCACAACCATGACTTTGGCAGGGATGAAATTTGTTAACTCATTTACATTTCAATTTGTTTGCAACTTGTATGTTAATGAACCTAAATTTCCAAGCAGAAGTAACATAAGACTGCATGGGAAAAATTTCATGTCAAGTTCTTTGTGCAAAAAGGAAACCACTTCTAATCCCAAAAGACATTAACTATCTCCCCTTTTCTTAAAATTCATTCCCATACCTTTTTAGGAAGGGGTGTCTTTAAGATGGACAATGACTCAGTAATGCAATCCACTATTTCTTCAGCAGCTTCAGCATTATTAAGACAGAAAACCATTGCATCTCCAATATCATTTTTCCTTGGAGTTAATCCCCGCAAGATTTCTTCCAATTTATCCCTCTGTCTGAACATAAATTGTTTTAACTTATAAATATTTAGATACAATTTCAAATGCCATTGTAGTTTTTGCTCACAAACTAATTTCTTTAAAACCTACTCACATAAAATAATTCTGAAGACTGTAATATGTTAAGTCTGATTTGTGTTGTGTCCCCCAAAATTGTTATAATTTTTTGAAGAACTTATATAAGAAAGAATACTCCGTAGAACTAATAAAAGATACCAATGATGTTTTCAGCTTACAAATTAAGTAAATTTAAAATCATGGGCATTTCTTCAAGAGTCTTTAAAGAGCACCCCAGTCTTACCATCCCATGATACTAAAGAATTTTCATGTTCTTTACTCCCCTTCTTTGAAGGAAGTCTATTACTTTAGCATTTCTGCCTGGGATTAGGACAAGCTAATTTTTCTGTAAAGGAAAAGACTGGCTGGGTGCAGTGGCTCATGCCTGTAATCCCAGCACTCTGGGAGGTCGAGGTGGGTGGATCATGAGGTCAAGAGATCGAGACCATCCTGGCCAACATGGTGAAAACCCATCCCTACTAAAAATATAAAAATTAGCCAAGCGCAGTGGTGGGCGTCTGTAATCCCAGCTACTCAGGAGGCTGAGGCAGGAAAATAGATTGAAACTGGGAGGCGGAGGTTGCAGTGAGCCAAGATTGCGCCACTGCACTCCAGCCTGGGTGACAAAGCAAGACTCCGTCTCGATTAAAAAAAAAAGATTATAAATATTTTAGGCTTTGAAGGCCATATGATCTCTATCCTCCTGCTGGTATAGCACCAAAGCAGCCAGACAACATGTACGGAAGGGGACTGACTGTATTCCAATAAAACTTTATTTTCCAAAACAGGAGGCAGCCATATTTAGCCTATGAGCTGAGTTTGCAGATCCTAGGATTACAGTGATTATGAACATACATCTTCAGACGTAAATACACTCAAATAGTATCGCACTCCATTGGCAAATGCTCTCATAGACAATGAATCAATGCAGCAAGTATTAAGATTTATAGACTGCAGTGAAGTACATAACGGCATATGGATTCAGTCACAGACCATTGCAATAAAGCAAATATCGCAATACAGCGAATCACACAAGTTTTTTGGTTTCCAAGAGCATGTAAAAGTTATGTTTATACCATACTGTGGTCTATTAAGTATGCAATAGCAGTATGTCTAAAAAACAATGTATACATTACTTTAAAAATACTTTGTTAAAAATGCTAACAATCATCTGAATTCTCAGTGAGTCATAGTATTTTTGCTGGTGGAAGGGTTTTGCCTCAATGCTGATGGCTGCTTGATCAGGGTGGTGGTAGCTGAAGGTTGGGGTGGATGCAGCAATTTCTTAAACAACAATGAAGTTTGCCGCATCAACTGACTCATCACAGGGGATTTCTCTGCAGCACAAGATATTGTTTGCTAACATTTTAGCCAGAGGAGAATGTCTTTCCAAACTGTAGTCAATCCTCTCAAACCCTGCACTGCTTTATCAACTAAGTGTATGCATATTCTAAATCCTTTCATTTCAACAATGTTTACAGCTTCTTCATCAGAAGTAGATTCCATCTCAAGAAACTACTTAATTTGCTCATCCCTAAGAAGCAACTCCTCATTTATTAAAGTTTTATCATGAGACCACAGCAATTGAGTCCCATCTTTGAGCTCTACTTCTAATTCTAGTTCCCTTGCTATTTCTACCATATCTGGAGTTACTTCCTCTACTAAAGTCTTAAATCCCTCAAAGTCATCCATGAGGGACTAACTTCTTCCAAGCTCCTGTTGATGTTGATTTTATTTTATACACAAAAAAACTGAAACTGATTTTTTTTCATTTCTTTTTAATAGAGATGGGGTCTCAATATATTGCTCAGACTGGTCTTGAACTCCTGGCCTCAAGCTATCCTCTTGCCTCGGCCTACCATAGTGTTGGGATTACAGATGTGAGCCACCACACCTGGCCCACAAATGTTCTCAATTGCACTTGGAATGGTAAATGCTTTCCGCAAGCTTTCTAACTGACTTTTTCCCAGACCCATTGGAGGAATCACTATTTATGGCAGCCACAGCCTTATGAAATACATTTCTTAAATAATAAGACTAAAAGGTCAAAATTACTCCTTGAACAAGGGGATACAGAATGGATAATGTGTTAACAGGCATGAAAACAACTTAATCTCTTTTGTACATCTCCATCAGAGATCTTCAGTGATCAGGTACATTGTCAATGGGCAGTAATATTTTGAAAAAAATCATTTTATTGAGCAGGTCTCAATTGTGGGCTTAAAATATTCAGTAAACCATGCTGTAAACAGATATGCTGTCATCCAGGCTTTGTTGTTCCATTTATAGAGCACAGGCAGAGCTGATTTAGCATAATTCTTAATGGTCCTAGGATTTTTAGAATGGTAAATGAGCACTGGCTTCAACTTAAAGTCACCAGCTGCATTAGCCCCTAGTAAGAGAGTCAGCCTGTCCTCTGAAGCTTTTAACCCAGGCAGCGACTTCCCCTCTCTAGCTATAAAAGTGCTAAATTACATTTTCTTACAATAAAAGGCTGTTTTGTCTACACTGAAAATGTGATTTAGTGTAGCCACCTTCATCAATGACCTTAGATCTTCTGGATAATTTGCTACAGCATCTACATCAGCACTTGCTGCTTCACCTTGAACTTTTATAGTATGAAGATGGATTCTTTCCTTAAACCTCATGAACCAATCACTGCTAGTTTCAAAATTTATCTTCTGGAGCTTCCTCACCTCTGTTTCCACAGAATTGCAGAGTGGGCCTTGCTCAGGATTAGGCTTTGGCATAAGGGAATGCTATGGCTGGTGTGATCTTCTATCCAGACCACCAAAACTTTCTATCAGTAATAAGGCTGTTTTGCTTCCTTATCATTCATGTGTTCATTGGAGTAGCACTTTTAATTTCCTTTAAAAACTCTTCCTTTTCATTCATAACTTGGCTCACTGTTTGGTGCAAGAGGCCTGGCTTTCAGCCTACTTCATCTTTTGACATGCCTTCCCAACTAAGCTTAATCATTCTAGCTTTTGATTCAATGTGAGAGAAGTAAGACTCTTCCTTTCACTTGAATACTCAAGAGGCCATTGTGGGATTATTAACTGGCCTAATTTCAATAGTGTTATGTCTCAAGAAATAGGGAGGCCTAAAGGGAGGGAAAGATGGGAAAACAGCTAGTCACTGGAGCAGTCAGAACACACATTTTTTGATTAAGTTCATCTTCTTATAAGACCACAGTTTGTAGTGCCCCAAAACAATCAAAGATCACTGATCACCACAACAGATACAACAATGAAAAAGTTTGAGCTATTGTGAGAATTATGAAAATGTGGCAGAGACACGAAGAAAGCACATGCTGTTTGAAAAATGACAACAGACTGGTTTGATGTAGGGTTGCCACAAACTTTCAATTTATAAAAAACACTCTATCTGCAGAGCACAGTAAGTCAAAGCACGATAAAACTACGTATGTCTGTACTTAATTATATATTCTAAAAATGCTTTTAGCCAATTTTTTTCCCATGAGGTATACAGGATGTCCTCTGAACATTTAATATGTTTCTGCTTCTTCAACCAGCTAGTTGCACTGTACAATTGCTAAGTGAGACTAATAACAACACATACTTCCATGGTGGCCATCTCACAGCTCATCACACAATGCAAATGAAGTGTGCAAGTTACCATAAAGGGGCTTTGCATAGCCACGATATGATCCCACTAGCCACATAATAGTTTTTCCTCTCTATGCTGCATTCAGAGAATCAAGAATTCTAGGAATCCCCCAATAATTTCTGTAAGAATCTGAAGTACTCCAATGCTAAAGAAAGAAGTCAACCATGTTTAAAAGATCATCACTAATTTTACCTAGGAGAAAAGTCAAGGACAATAGAATACATACCTATACTTGTTAAGATGTTTAAAATTATAAAGCACATGATGAAAGATGTTACTATTTTAAACATTCACAAGTGAAAAAAAATTTATTTTAGGGTTAACATCTTAATAAGACCATTAATTAAAGCAACCATTACAGTGACTTTTCTGAATATATAAAAGAAAAATATCTTACTCTTCCTTAAGTGCTCCCTTTTTACTAGGTTCCTCTACAAAAGCTTCTGTTTCTTGCTCTTCTGACATTCCATGCAAGTATGGATTTAACGGTGGTGGCCTCCAAAAAGATCCATTTTTGAACATACGAAAATCTTCCGTCCGCCATTTAGTTGGAGAATCTCCCTAACAAACATTTAGAGAGTTATTATAAAGGTCTAATTACTCAAGAGTCAAAATTAACAAAGTAATTGATTCTACTTGCCTGCAGAATAGAATAAAGCTTCCACCTATAGTAAACATGGGCTGGTGTCTGGTTTTCAAATAAGAACCTAAACAAAACAAACAAACATTAAACATCATATTCTTCAACAGAGCTATCTTCAATTAAATATAAATAAATGAGAAGTATTATTTGCCTATTTAGTTCAAAATAAAACAAAAATAAAGATCCCTAAAGAGAACCTCACCCACTGCCATCCACTACCTATCCCCATTCCCTTACACCAGTCCTAAACTGCCTTAGTGACTGACATTAATAATCAGAAGGCATGCATCATGCTGAGTCTTATGATCGTTTTTATTGAACACTTACATGGCAGATACTGTGTCTGGCAATGGAGAGATTTTCCCAATATATAATTACAAAAGCAGTGATTTTATACTATTTAAGTGTTAAACTAGTGTTTTAGAATTCTGTAACAATTCAGAGGATAAGCAATTTATTTTAAAACTCATTTGTTCAACTGTATCTCACTTATGATTCCTTCACTGAAAAGCATAATGAAATGTATTTTCCTCCTAGAGAATGCTAAAAACAATACTATTTAATTAACCAAATCAAAATCTAATGGAAAATTGGCCTCAATACATTCTACTCTGATTACTAAAACTGCCTTCCCATCCCATTGCAGAACTAATCCCATACTTTTAGAACTTTATTCTTGGAAATATTTTTAATTCTAATAAATTAAAAGTAGTTTTAAGCTGCATGCCTGAAGATAAAATACGGCAAATACAAACAATGGAATATTATTTGCCCTTAAAAAAAGAAATCCCGATACACGCTATAATACAGATGAATCCTGAGGACATTATGCTAAATGAAATAAGCCAGTCACAAAAGGGTAAATATTATATGATTATACTCATATGAGTTTACCTAATCAAATTACTAAGAAACAGAAAATAGAATGGCAGTTGCCGGGGCTAAGGGGCCGGAAGACTGAGGAGTTACTGTTTCACAGGTAAAGAGTTTCATTTTGGAAGATGAAAAAAGTTCTGGAGATGGATGGTGGTGATGGTTGCACAACAATGTGAATATACTTAATGACAATGAACTGTATACTTAAAAATGGCTAAAATGGGAAATTTTATGTTACATATATTTCAACACAATTTTTTAAAAATGCACACCTGAACATAGGATTGTTGATTTCTCTGTTCATAATCATAGCTTCAAACATTGGCCCTTCACGTACAACAAACTCTATCATTCGATGTATCAGGGCGAGCAAATTCCTACAACAACAACACAGTTAAAGAAAATGGATTCAGACCTACCACTATATAAAACTACACTTGACCTAAGTTACTATAATTGTGCAGAAAATGATTATTCTGCTGACTAACACCAAATTTAATACCAAAACAGTAACCTGGAGCATATGTTAATGCCTTGTGCATTAAGAGGGTGTGGGGCAGTGGGAGTAGGGAAGTGGGAGGGGATGGAAAGGTGAGGGAGGGTAGGAAACCACAATATAACCTCATAGTAATATTTACTTTTCTAAATGTCACTTAATTTTATTTTCCAAAAGTAAAACATTATAAATCACAACTAATTGGAAAGTTGCAAATATTGATATATAAAATCAGTAAGTTTGAGCCTGCATGTTATTACAGCCATCTAGAAATTCACACACTATCTCAGTAAAAAAAAAAAAAAAAAAATTCCTAAACCAAGCACTTTTGTGGTGCTACTGAAATGTTATAACCATGACTATAATTTATAAAAATGCAAAACTACCTAACAAGTTTAAGGCCTGATTTAATAAAAAATCCATCCAACTCTTGTGTTTTTCTGGTACACATACCAGATGGAGTTTTTATTAAATCTGACCTTTAATGAGGCAACATCCCTTTGGACCATACTTCAAACTAGTTCACGATTCATGAAATGGATAATTCTGCCTGTATATTATCTTTTTTCCCTCCAAAACAAGAGAGATTGATATGCCTATACACTATAAATCAATGAAGAAATTATGTTGCCAAAGCCTTCTACTACTCTTTCCAAAATATTGCAAAATGGGGCACATGGTGAGATGCCCTTCCCATTTTCTGTAACAATTATTTTCCAAATACCAAAATAAACATATGTGAGTAATTTTTTAGTACAGTCGTTTTATTGACTGAACTCACAGGAAGTCTTTATCTGAAGCTAGGTCCTAAAATCATGTGATATTTTATTAGACTCCAAACACAATTTTGGACATTGATTATGGCGTCAGGCTCAAAATGACTCAGCTTATTTATAAGCTGCTTTTGATTTCTCATTTCACCAGTCCCCCAGCATACACAGTTGGCAAATAACAATCGGGAAAAGCAAAAGGATATTGGCTCTTGGTACATGGCACACACTAAATTACACCTTTAGCATTCCCAGCTCAAATTACATTCATATAACTGCTAGAATGTAAATAAATATATAGTTATAGAATAAGACAGACTTTTCTTGCTCCATAAAGCCCTATTTCAGAGTACATAAACAATAAAATAATCTATCTCATGGTGGCTATAACTGTTTTCTCATAGCTTTCAAACAAACCTACTTAAAATGAAATCTCTACACAGTGAAAAAAATTTAACCCTAAAGGAAGTAAAAAAAAATGTATCACAGTTTAAATCTTTACAAAGGGGAAATTATGCATTTAAAACTACTAATTCAACCCTAAATTGTTAAAACAAAAAACTAAAAACATTGCTTAATTTTAAATTTAAAAATTATTTTTCTTTCACAGAAGTAATTGCTCTGCAAATACGCAGTTCCTCAACATTCATATGGTTAATGACATTATTTTGAAGGAAGGGAGATAATGTCAAGTTATGATTCAATTCCAAAACTCCCCACTGATATGAGCCAAATTAAAGCTAAGGGAAATTTTATGTATAAGACTAATTACTAGGTGGACAAATGTTATACACCCAGAAACTTGTGTGAATTAAGTCAAAAGCAACTTGACTTTAGCATTTAAGATAGAGGAAAATTGTTTAGCAAGTTTAAAAACAAAGGATTCATCCGAATGGTGAGTGAAGACTTCCGGCAAAACGCACACTCAAAATTGTTTAGAAATACGGTGAGCCACATACATGTAAAGCTACCACTAGATATGTGCTTTTTTTGAATGCTACAAAAATACTATCCTGTGAATGCTTTTATCAGTGGGGAAAATCCCACTTAGTTTTAAACAGGCTTGTAACTGATAAAATTAAAAGTTTATAAGTATTTTTTAAAATGTTTCATGATTATTTAAAATCAAAATCTGACAATTAATTATTAACTTGATTTCAAGATTACTAAAGAACTGTAATCACATTCTTCTTCCTTAAGGATTGTGTTTATTTTAAAAATGGTGACTTTTCTATTAAACAGTGTAGTACAAAAAGATGATATATTCAAAGTGCATTATTTAATTTTAAAATGGTAATTATCTTATTCTGGGCAACAACAACCAAAAAAAAAAACAAAAAAAAAAAAACAAAAAATTGTCTCTCAGTTATAATAAAACCACATTTATTGGAGTCGATCGTACCAATGTCTGGTCAAAAACTGTATACTTTCCCAATCCATCCCATGATGTTTTCCTGGTCCCCCGCTGCCGCAGACAGTTCAGCTGGTGTTGCTCACCAAGGCCAATGTCAAAGAGAATTTGGTATTCTTTTGTGTTCATTTATTATTCAACCAGTGTTGTGTTCCTGTGTTTGGGAAAAGGCTTAGCTTGACTGAGCAAGAGCATACCTACAGCATGAATTCTTCTGCTTTAACAGTGTGTTGAAAGAGAAAAAAAAGGAAGAAAGGAAAATAAAAGAATTCCAAATACCTTTGTTATCATGAAAAGAAAGTTTCGAGTATGTCCAGTGTTCATGACAATAATAGGAATTTCTTCTTAAAATCAATTGAAAAAAAAAAAAAAACCAAAACAAAACAAAGCTATGCCATCAGTAAGGAGAACTCAAACCAACGTTATATATTAAATGCAGATAATTCAGAAAACAAGAAAAAAATAACAACAGATTGAGTCAAACTGTAATGTTATCTGAAATTTAAGACACATTTAAAACATCTATTTTCCCATGACAATAGTCTATTGTCTGACTCCAAATCAGAGCTAATAAATACATTCTAACTAGTCAAACTATAAACATTCCCTACAGTGATAACAATAAAAACAAAAAAGATATTGACATAAAATTGCACAGTATACAAAAGTTAGTTAAATTTCACACATCCCCCCAAAAAGTACTGGGAAGGAACCATTGCTCAGTCAAGATACTACCTTTTCCTCAACACCATTTCTTTTTAAATTCAGAAGGGGATATTGTCTATATTTAGATCAGTAATAATAAAGAAAAACATGTACCTTTCTGTTGGGATAACCACTTTGACTATGGCTTGCGACAGAGTCTGTATATGAAGTCACATCAGATAATAAACATAGAATATGTGAGTATTGTTAACAAGTAACAAGCAAAAATATACATATGCATTGAAAATACTACATATCTAATCACAAGTTTTGCAGGCAATCACTGCATTTGAAGTCATTATACACTAAGCAATTACATAAATGCAAATGGATGTGTTCAGTGAACAATAATGTTCACTAAATGCAAAGAATCAGAACATTCCTGCCAGAATGCACATCAATGCACTGAAATAGGTACTACACTGAGAATTATCAGATAAAGATTTTAATTTGTGAAATAATTAACTGTTTGCCTCTGACCATACAGTTCACTACTTTGTTCCCAAGCCTTTAAAACCAGCCCTGTCGTTTTAAGTGTAATTAATTCATAATAGAACCAACAAATTCTTATAACTTAAGTTGGTTTTTGTTTACTAAAAAGAAAATACTCACCCTTGGCTTTTACTAGATTAACTATTTTTTAAGAACCACATAAAGCTTCTCAAATATTCTAATACCTCAGACCTAGCTGCCATCCAAACAATAACTACTTAGGAGGTCTTTCTAATTGAAATTTCTAATTGAAATGTCACTTAACCAAATACAAAATATCACTTTCTCAGAACAAAGTAAATTTAGATACTACACTTAAGCAAATCTGGATAGAACACCGGACAAAGGAAAAAAAACTTAACGAGTGGTCAAAAAAAGAATGGTAGCCACAAATAAAAACATGACCTAGTATTTCAAATATAGGGTTTCCATGGGCTAAGGCAGGGAACACATCTACTTATTTCTTTAAAAGTTGCCAAACAGAATTACACACACATTTTCTTTAAAATTGTTGAAAAGAAATACTACCACAGTTTTAGTATTTACAAATTAGATGCGGCCTTATGTCCATTTTTAAAATTACCTTCTCAAAATCCTCTTTGTTTTTAGGTGGCGGTAACATAGGAGCATTAGGGTTTTTTAACCGCTCTCTAGGCTGCGCATTAAAAGGCAGTCCGGATGGAGGTGGGGGAAGCGTATGTTCCATCATAGAAGGCGGAATGTATATTGGATGTGGAGGAATAGGTACAGCTTTACCCCAACCTAACTTCATTTCAAAAGACATAATCATTTTTCCTACAAGAAAGAAACGAAAGGTCACTTTGTTAACTCTCAAAAGTTTCCAAATAAAATCTTTCTGGTGAGTTGAAATAATTTTCATTTTAACCTCTCCATTTCAGGTCCAATCCTTCCTAGTTTTTATAAATACTTTTCCAAACCAAAGAAATATCTGAATTGTATAAATGGGTAATAAAAACATTCTTACCATTCAAATTTTTTAAAGCTCTTTCAGCATCTCTTCTATTCATAAAGGCCACAAAGCCACAATTTCTCTCTCTGGCTCTTTCTTCATCAGTTCTAGGCCACATGATTTTCACACTGGCTAACGGTCCAAATCTTCCAAATTCTTGGCACAGCATTTCTTCATTCATCTATTAAAAAGGGTAGGAGATTTTTATTATGCAAAAAAGGGAAAAGAAAAAATTATTTTCAGAAAACAAAGTAGTTTTTTACAAAATGAAAAGCAACATAGCAACATGCTTCAATTTTCCATTCAAGTACCAGGAACGCTACACAAGTAAAATCCCACGTGGGGCATTCACACATCATTTCATACTATAAATATTCTGGTTTATTTAAGATGCCAGGGTGGGCAAGTTCAGCGGATAGAGAAATCAAAATCACTTTTACTCCCTATCTTCCTTTGCTTTAAGGTCCTAGATCTAAGATAGATGTTTTATAGTGATGGTTTGTTTAGGCATTTAGGAACATTTTTCAAGCAGGCGTGGTTAGTACATTTAAATTAAGGAGGAAATATTTATTGACAATGAAGAAAAAAAGGATCTAATCATCTGTTCTCCTTCTAACAATCAACTACCCATGTAATCAAATGCAGAGAAAACAGTTAACAGTAACTATGCAAAATATAATTTTTAATAACAGTATATTATATACTACTGCTACTACATTCACCATAACATAATTAACAGCATCAATGTAGGAAAAGAATTAAAATGCAAAAGACAAACCACAAACAGTAGTTTGCTACTATGAGAAAAGGGACTCCACAAGGAAACAAGTATGCATCAGAAGTGGATAGTCTCAAAAATAATATTATTCATCAATGGTCATACCCTGATTTAATAATAAAACTAGCACATAGTAAAACATTTCAAATTCAGAGTTCAATCTAGTTACTGAAAGAGAAAACGAGAATATGTCGCAAAACAATTTGGGCCATACCAGTAAGTCTCAAGTTTACAAGACAATTCTAAAGACTATCAAATTCCATCAGATTTGTCAGCTTCAGAATCCTGATTTTTTTGACTGACAAAGTAGCTTTCTTCCAAAAACATAAAGCATATCACTCAATATTCATCTTACTTAATATTACCTGTGGATTAATGTTTCCAAGGTATAAATTAGTAGTGCTTGGATCTCCTACATCATGTGAGCCAGGTGCGTAATCATCAAGAACTAGGGCAGAAAGAAAAAAAGAATTATAACCTGCAAAATACAAAGTTTGGAAAATTTATCAATTAAAAGAGCAAAAAACTGTATTACCACCAGATGATCTATTTCTTCTTGAAGGTGCGTCCACTTAAAGGGGAGAAAAGAAAACAATTATTAGTTTTTATAATACAGTAGTCCCCCCCTTACTCTCGCCTTTGTTTCCCCCAGTTTGTTACAGTAACAATTTCCGAGAGACAAAAAGAGACCACATTCACATAACTTTTTTTTTTTTCTTTTTTTTTTGAGACAGACTGTTGCTCTGTCACCCAGGCTGGAGTGCAATGGCATGATCTCAGCTCACTGCAACCTCTGCCTCCCAGGTTCAAGCAATTCTCCTGCCTCAGCCTCCTGAGTAGCTGGGATTACAGGCATGCACCACCACGCCCGGCTATATTTGTATTTTTAGTAGAGACGGGGTTTCACCATGTTGGCCAGGCTGGTCTCAAACTCCTGACCTTAGGTAACCCGTTCGCCTCGGCCTCCCAAAGTGTTGGGATTGCACTTTTATTTCAGAATATTGTTATAATTGTTCTATTACTTATTAATTTACAAATTAATGTTTACCACAGCTATGAATGTGTAAGGAAAAGGATAGTATACATCCATGGTTTCAGACACCCACTGGTGAGCCTTGGAATGTAACCCCCCATGGATAAGGTGGGAACTACTGTAATTGATCACAAACATACACATTAAAACAAATGCCACTTACTAGAACGACGCTGACCATCAGAATCTGACTGAGGAGGTTCAAATCGACTTAATCTGCCTTTTGTTTTATGCCTCTCATCACGTTCCTCTTGAATTCTGTTAAAAATATTTACAATCACTTATAATGAGCCAAAATTTGTTCCTTCACATTTAAGAATAGCGCTTATCAAATTACTATCATCAAATAACTAGAAATATCTGTAATTAAATACTGGTACTGAGAACCAAGATTAGAGAGTCCCTCAGCTATAATAAAACCACGAGCAAATTTCTAATATATCATACTGGCAATGGAACACAAAGCCTACTTTAAAGGTGAGGAGGAAATTCAACATTAAAACCACTGAATTTGTTTCTTGCTAAGTCTGGCTGCCCCTCACTCCCACCCCAGTGAGTATACTGTTTCCACTGCAAACAGGACTCTGGACATTAAATAAATCAATTGAACTGAATATTCATAATGCAAGCAACCCAGGTACTGGACTAAATGCTAATTTATTTTCAAAGATACCCCACCAAATATTATAATATCTAAAACAATCTCATAACAAAGTGGTTAGTAATAACTAACTGGTACAGTATATTCTTTATACTTGCATCTGTTTATGTATCAGCTCAATATACCTATGATAGTTATTCTCCACACTATAAAACTTACTGCTTTAATTCTTCTTTGAAGAGTTCCAAATTGCTTTTTTTCTTTTCTTTCTCTCCTTTTTTAAGTGGCTATAAAGGATATGACAAGTTATACTTCAAACAAAAGGTTAAGCAAATCTAATGATTCAATAATAGCCTTTTTACATCATTTCAGTACAAATTGTATGTTCTAATTAATTAAATTAAAAAGAAAGAATGCTTTTCTTATCATTTAACTTCCCTTCCCCTTCCTCCAAAATAACAAATTATTAATACAATTAGACAATTAAAATGACAACCAGTAGTCAGGGAAATTAATGAACATGAAGTAACTGAACTGCCATGGAAAGTAACTGCCAAAAATACGCACTCTTCAAAACAATCACCTTTGGAGGACGTGAATTACTGGAACAATAAGTAACATCTTTGGAATCCTCTTTTAAAACTGCTTCTTAATCTACTTTTGGAATCCTTCTTTTAGAAGTGCCAACATAATTTAATAGGGAAGAATAATATTTTCAAAAAATGGTGCTTGGACAACTGAATATCCACATGCAGAAAAATGAAGTTGGACTTCTACTTTACACCATATACTAAATGTACAAAATAAACTCAAAATGGTTCATGGACCTAAATGTAAGAGCTAAAACTATAAAACTTTTGGGAGAAAAACACAGGAATCTTCATAATCTTGAATTAGGTGATGGTTTCTTAGATATGACACCAAAAGCGTAAGTAACAAAAGAAAAAAACTGACAAAATGGACTCCATTAAAGTTTAAAACCTCCATGCTTCCATCAAGAAAATGCAAAGACAACCCAGAGAACAGAAAACATTCCCAAATCATATAGCTGATAAGAACCTTGACTCAAGAAGATGTAAAATACTCTTACAATTCAACAACAAAAATACAAATAACCCAATTAAAAAGTGGGCCAAGTATTTGAATAGACATTTCTCCAAAAGAAACCTATAAATGGACAATAAACACATGAAAAGATGCTCAATATCATCAAGTAAGTGCAAATCAAGACCACAATGAAGTACAACTTCACACACACTAAATGACTAAAATAAACTTTTCAAACAAAACAGTTTTGTGTTTGTTTGTTTGTTTTTGAGATGGAGTTTCGCTCTTGTTGCCCAGGCTGGAGTGCTATGCAGTGATCTTGGCTCACCGCAACCTCCGCCTCCCGAGTTCAAGCAGTTCTCCTGCCTCAGCCTCCGGAGTAGCTGGGATTACAGGCATGCACCACCAAGCCCGGCTAATTTTGTATTTTTAGTAGAGACGGTGTTTCTCCATGTTGGTCAGGCTGGTCTCAAAGTATTAGTGTACAACGTGAGAAAACTGGAACCCTCAAACATTACTGGTGGGACTGTAAAGTGCTACAACCACTTTCGAAAAACTGGCAGTTTCTCAAAAGGCTAAACACAGTTACCATGTGACCCAGCAATTCCACTTCTCCCTGTGTGTATATACATGTATCCAAGAGAACTGAAAACGTAAGTTCACACAAAAAAAGCCCACACATGAATGTTTACAGCAGCATTATTTCTAACAGCAGAAAAGCGGAAACAAACCAAATGTCCATCTACTAAATAATGCACAGATAAACAATATATGGTATGTCTATAAAATGGAGTATTATTCAACCACAAAAAGGAATGAAGTACTGATACATGCCACAACAAAGATGAACTTTGAAACATTATGCTAAGTAATGAAGCCAGATACAAAAGACCAAATGTTGTATGATACCATCCATACAAAATGTCCAGAATAAACAAATCAAGAGACAGAAAGTAGATTAGTAGGTTGTCAGGGACTGAAGTTAATAGGGAAAAAAAGAAAAATAGGAGTGACTGATAATGGTAGGGATTTCTTTTCAGGTTGATAAAAATGTTCTGAAATCAGAGTGGTGACTGTTGCACAACTTTGAATATACTTAAAACCACTCAATTGTACACTTTAAATTTTTTTTTTTTTTTTTTATAGATGGGAGTCTTGCTATGTTGCCCAGGCTGGTCTCAAACTCCTGGGCTCAAGCAATCCTCCAGCCTCAGCTTCCCAAAGTGCTAGGATTACAGGCACGAGCCACTGCACCTAGTCAACTGTATACTTTAAAAGGATAAATTTTAGCCAGGCATCTGTAATTCCAGCACTTTGCGAGGCCAAGGTGGGCAAATCGCTTGAGTCTGGATGTTCGAGACCAGCCTGGGCAAAATGGTGAAAATCCGTTTTCACAAAAAATACCAAAAAATTAGCTGGGCATGGGACTACATTGCCTGTAGTCCCAGCTACTTAGGAGGTTGAGGTGGGAGGACCACCCGAGCCTAGGAGGTTAAGGCTGCAGGAGCTGTAATCACACTACTGCACTCTAGCCTGGGCAACAGTGAGACTGTCTCCCAAAAAAAAAAGAAAAGGTAAATCTTATTGTATTGTATGTGAATTGTATCTCAATAAAGCTGGATTTTTTTTTTCATTGCTTTTAGAGACATTTTTTAAGCCAAACAAAAAAAACCAGGCTTACTATTCAATGCAATCACATTTGTTCACCACATGTGGCTCCAAATGACATGACCCACATCTGTCTGCCATCTCCCATAAAAACCAAACTCTCAAAGAAAAAGAATTTTTTTTCTAACACTAAGAATATTTTAAGTGTCACTAATTCTGACAGTAATTCCCAAAATGTTCTAAAAATGTTCTAGGAAACAGACACTACACATACTAATAATTTAAATACCTCAGTTCATAAATGTTTAAAAAGACAACCCCATTGCAAGTCAAATATAGTCAATTTTTGACTTGCATTATAGTAAATTTTTGACTTGCAATATATGATGAGCATAAATAGCAAATGTTCACTGCTCAAAGAGCATAAAAAGAATATCACCTATGTGTCCTAATTCATTATCTCTCATCTAAGTAAATTACTGGGTTAGAAAGCATCAAAACTTAACATCTACCACTCCTGCCCCCGCCAAAAATGAAAAAAAGCCAAAGTCTTGCTTACAGTGGAAGTATCACTGGCAGTGCCATCTCTGAACATAAACGGTCAATTACTTAAGTATGACTTACAGGTTTTTTGGTTTCTATCACAAGAAGAGATGGTGGTCTTTCATTGGAAGACTGATTTGGAGGATTTTTTTGATCTGCAAATCTTGAAGATGGCTTATAGATTTTACCTCTTTTCTCATCTGTTTCATGTTCTTCTGAAATTTAAAATACTAAGTTTCAAAACTAATTTCGCATTTTCTTTATTAAAAACAAGTAAAAATTAGTAAAATGCCTTTAGCATTAAAATGTTATCACTATTAACAAATATGAAATTCAAGTATCACCTCAATAATGCTAATTTAATCATTTTGTAGCAAAACTACGACACACATTAAAATCTATGACAAGTGCTCTGCTGTCTTAAAACCTGAAAGGGACTAAATATGTTTAAAATCTGTCTTCAGTATCTCATTAATTGACACTTGGCCATTTATTCTGCTAATATAACCACTAGAGGGTGCCAACAGAAAATGTAAAATTCAAAAGCAACCAAACTTTCTTCCATAATTATCTACCTGCAGTCATTCAACCAAGATGGAGTTTGCTCAAAAACTGTAATAGTTATACTTTATTAGCAGTTACACTTATAAACTTACCTTTAGCTGCATTAACAACACCCCCTCGCACAAATGTTTTCACCTTATTACCATCACTTCCTTCAAAAGCAGCAAGAAACTCCTCATATATCTCAGCAGCTGCCTTTTCATCCTCCTAAATACACATGAAAATATTAATATCACGCAATACAAAAATTGTTAATGTACACAGGGCTAAATTTATCAAGGAATAAGATGGAAGAAAACCCTCCCTTCCCAGGTTAAGCAGTCCTAACAATTAATAACATCTAATCTTTAGTAGATATTAAATATTAATTAATGAAACCAAGAGAGGCTTTGCTCCTCTACCGGCAATTTGTAGAACTAGAAAAGAACCCCTAAGTACAGATTAACTAGTAAATTTGTCTAGAGACTACTCAAGCATCAAATTGCATGACAATTGACTATATGAAAACGTATTTTGCTACTAACGTTTACCAAGTTTCCAAGGCATGATGATTTAATTCAGTGAATATAAATATTTTTCAAATCACCAAAAACATGTGTATTAGAAGTTGAAGCAGCAACATCTACCGACAAGTGGCATTAAAGAAAGCTAAGAAGAATCTTGATATAAAGAAAGCTCAGAAGAAATTTGATAGTTTCAATTATTCTAAATGTTCCCAAAACATCTACGAACAGAAGGCCAACAGAATATAACAGAAAATACAGAATAAAATCAAATAGCATGTGGAAATTTAGTGTTCAATAAAAGAAGCATCTCAAATCAATGGGAAATAAAACTTTTCAATAAATGACACTAGGATAACTGAATATATTATTTGAAAAAAGACAAAAATGAATCTATTCTTGACACCACATACCAGAATAAACTACAAAATAATCTGATTTAATATTCTTAAAAACGAAACCATACAGTAGTAGAGGAAAACATGAGGAAATTCCCTTATAAGCTGATAATGGAAAAAACTGAAAAACCAGAAATCATAGGGAAACACTGATCTGATTGTACAACAATAGTTTCTGCATGGAGAAAAACACCAGCAGCAAAATAAAAAGACAATCAACAAAGTGAGAAAAAAAAAATTGTACCTTGTATAACAAAGTGTTAATACAACTTATAGAAAAAAATGAGCAGACAGTTCACAGAAACAAACACAAGAAAAACTGTTAAACTTTACTCATAATGAGAGAAATCCAAATGTAAAACTACACCGAGATACCATTTTTCATGCAGGAGACTGGCAAAACTCCTCTACTGGCAGTGCTATGGAGAAACATTCATTCATACACTACTGACAGGCGTGCAAAATGTCACTGCCCCTACAGAGAGCAATTTGACAATGACAAATACAGAAAAACTACATTTATGCATTTACCATTCAACCCAGTAATCTCACTTATAAGAACATATCCCAAATCTCACCTATAAGAATGTATCCCAAAGATAACACTAGCAAAAAACCCAAACATATGCATAACATTATCCCTCACAGCATTATTTGTAATGACAAAAGAACAAAACATAAATGCCCGCAGTAGAATTTTAGTTGAATAAATGATTGCATATCTACACAGCCATAGCAAAAGAATAAGGAGTATTTCTATATACTTGAGGTAATTTCTGAGATATAATGTTAAGTTACAAAAGCAAGTTGGAAAAAAGTGTACTGTATAAAGCATACTATCATTAATCTAAGGGGAATGGGTACAATGTGCACACACACACACTTTACTTATACAAAAAGAAGATTAGAAAATAGCCAAAACTATAACAAAGAAAAAAGAAACAGGGTGAGGGAACAAGGATAGAAGCTCGACTCCTAGGAATATATGTTGTATTACAGATTTGACTCAGAGGTGGAGCTGAGAATATCCTAGAGGTCAAGAATCTTCAGGAAACATTCCTCTAATACACTTAGACACATTCATTTCCAAGGATAATTCAAAATACATTTTCAACATTACCTTTTTCTTTAATTCTTCCTGTTCTTTTTTACTTAAAGTTCGTTTAGCTGTACTCATTTTTCCAATACTGAATGCTTTAAGTTTGTTTTCCAGAAGAGGCTAAGAAATAAAAAGTATACCTTTACATATACATTCTTAGTGCTATCTAAAACTTTAATACACATCAACTGATAACTAAGTCTTCAGAATAGATTGCCATTTTTAAAAATTTCATTGTAAAGAAAAGCTGGGGCTACTCTACACGTCAGGTGCCTATCTTACTTGACTCTGACGTTAAGTATTCATCAAAGAATGCCTTCATTCACTAGCTCTAGGTCAAAAACATGCAAAAGGCATGTTCAAAAAAAAGGTAAAAATAGAAGAGACAGACACTAATGCTTAGAACAAGAATAAAAGCATTTGAGGAGGGAAAGTACAGATGTTTCTGGGGGAAAGTTGCAATGACAGAAAACAGATCCTGAAGTAGGCAAAGGGAGGCAAACATTTCCATGGTCCCGGGGCAGGAATTTACCATCTACAACCCTCATTTTACATATTATAAATAACTTCTTTTATATAATTTGGTAAATAACCTCATTCTTCATCAATAATACTGATATTTATGAACATAATTTCATTCTTTGCTGGGATTAAAATATCACCTACAGTATTCAAGGTTTCAGCTCAAGTAAAACTATATCAATTTTAAATATAAGAAAACAGTATTTTAATGAAGTCTTCATTTATGCAACTTAGAGGCAACTTCCTTCTGAAATATAGCCTGAATATACTGTCTGTAGACCTTTTTGTTCAATCAGTTACTCATTTGATTTATAAACTTAAAAGGTAGGAAATGTTTATTAAATACAACCTAAAATACTGAAATCTGAAGGTTTCTCTCTCTACTAAAATGAGAAGCTAACCAATTACAAAATTAAGACTTTAAATTCCCTAGTCATTAAATAGGCTTGCCTTTGGGAGATGCAGAATAGAAGAGTAACATTGCTGCTAACTATTTTAAAGTTAATTAAAATCCCTTTGAGGAAAATAAAGCAGTTTATAACCTAAAAGTCAATATTGGGTTTCAGGAGCAGATTCAAAATACATTTTCTCAAAATAGAAAATCATTTTGCCATCATTTGGTCTCTCCGGTTTCAACTTCAAAAGTTTAAACAAGTGGCAAAATTATATATGAATTAAATGAAACCCAAGGAAAAATCACCATGCTCAAATTTTACTTATACCCTAAGAGCTAAATTCAGACACCCAAGAGAGATATGGCTAAGGAAACTATGGGGTATTTATTCAAATAAACAATATAAGCAATCATTCAAAAGTTTGTTTACAGATTTTTTGCAGAAATGAAAAAAAAATTTGTAACTAAAAACAGGGTATTTTAAAATGGGTTCTTGTAAAATAAATCTAGGCAAAGTAAAAATATACTTATACCTAGAACTATTAAACAAGAAAAATAATTTGTTGTCAGTGGTTAATACTGGCTGGTGATGACTGTGTTATGCTACAAATTTAACCACAAGAAAAAATTACTTGACATAGAATAAAAGTCTAAAAGAGCCTGAGAGCACTTTACAGATCTAAAAGTGAGGAAGTTCCTTCTCTGTGTTCCTGTATTACCCTGGGCACTGCACTTATTAGAGTGAATAGCACCTGCTCCTGTTTGTTTTCCAAAGTGAGACTATAAGCTCTCTGGAAACAAGAATAGTGTTTCAATGATCTGTGCATTTCCAGTAACTGATACTTGGTACTTGGTTCAATAAATTTTTGATATAAGTGGGGAAAGATAAACTTGACAATTAACCATTTTAAATCCAAACACCACTTTTCTTTTTGAATAAAATTTAAAACTCTAAAATAAAATATATCTCACATTTGAGCTAAAAGGATGTCCCTATATAAACGAGTTTACTGTTATCCCAAATACAAAAAGAATGCTATTTTCAAATAGAATAAGATGAAACACATACAAAACCAAATATTCAACCACTAAATTCAATCAAGGACAGATTAACACCATTAACTATCCTTTCTTATCTTTACCTTATCTTATCTATACTCACTCTTGAGAGATTCTGATGAGGAGAATCACAAAGGCTTTCACGGGCACTTTCATTCCTATAATTATGTTTTCTTGGGCTCTTAGGTCGCGTCCGACTTGGCATATCACTATCTGAGGGTCCAGATGCATCCATCTTTAGGAAAAGCAAAACAAGAGAAAAAACAAACCACACATGCATACATATACAGCACTGAAAACTAGAAATAAGCCATGTCAGATATTCACAAATTTCATTGTACATTATCAAAATATCACATCCCTTAATATCACCATTGATTTCATCCAAAAGAGTTCTTTTTGTTTTTTTGAGATGGAGTCTGGCTCTGTGGCCCAGACTGGAGTGCAGTGGCACGATCTCGGCTCACTGCAAGCTCCACCTCCCAGGTTCACGCCATTCTCCTGCCTCAGCCTCCCAAGTAGCTGGGAGTACAGGCGCCTGCCACCACACCCGGCTAATTTTTTTGTATTTTCAGTAGAGACATGGTTTCACCGTGTTAGCCACGATGTTCTCGATCTTCTGACCTGGTGATCCGCCCGCCTCAGCCTCCCAAAGTGCTGGGATTACAGGTGTGAGTCACTGCACCCGGCGTAAAAGAGTTCTTAAGAACAGGGGAAGTTTTCAATAACTCTAACTCACAAGCTTGAATTTTATATTGGTAACAGTTGTTTTCCTTGAAGTAACAGGTTCATTACCTTCATTTTCAAGAAAATGTCTGCCAAAATCCCCAAGTCTGATTCACCATAGTTTGCCTGTCAGTCACTCCCAAGTAAAACTGGTGTTTCATGAAAAAAGCAACTAGTTTCATTTCTCAACTCAAACAAACATCACATTTTGGTAAGCATAAGTGTTATACGTACTTCTTATCACATAGAATATTAAGACAAACTATACAAAAGATCAAGACAATGGTAAATTTTTACTGCTTGATGAAGTAGTAAAATAGTAGTAATTTTTACTGCTTCACCAAGCAGTAAAAATTATTTCTAATTATGCTGGTTTCTCAAGTGAAATTATTGTGCCTGCTGGGGAAGAATATAACGACTACACGTATATTCTGGTGTCACTGCCTTGATTTGTGCTGAAGTGCCAACAGTTTACCCACCGAATGCTTTTGCACCTCCAGCTATATTTGCATTAGTGCAAGTGCCAAAATGGTGAAAAAGGCATAAATAACGCCTTAGTATTATTACAAAATAGTTTTGAATTCACAGACCCTTCTCAGAGATTCTCAGTGACTCCCAGGGATCTTCTGACTCCCAGGGGTCTTCAGACTACACTTTGAACACTGCTGTAATAACATATATAAAAAAATACTTATTGCAGTATTATCTATCCAAAATGTTACTCGAAAGCTTTTAACAAAAAATATATGCCATCAACAAACAAATAACAAACAACTGCACCTCCCCACCATAGAACATTATGATGCCTTAAGAAAGAACAGATAAGAGTTATAACAGTTTACCTGCAGGGATTTCCAACACATGTTCTGTGCAGTAAGAAAAGCATGTGTATAATGCATTCCCATAGTCAAAGTGTAAGTACACATATGTATGTACAGATTTTTACACAATAAAAATCATAAGGAAATATACATACTAGGTTTCTAACATGGCTTGAGAGGGCTAACTTATGCAAGTAGAACATAAAAAAAAGGAAGGCACCTAGAAAAAAAGAGTAAAAGGAAAAAAAGCACACACAATATAATTGTACTTATTTGTGAAGTAAAATCATTGATGTAGGGAAACATACGAGGAGAAATTAAATTTTAAAGGAAAAAAGACAAAGATTGCCTTTTATACTCACATGTGCATCTGAAGATCCAGACGAATGAACATCTGATGATCTCGTCTACAAGTATTAAAAATAAAAGTCAATAATTTAAAAATGTCTTACACTAACAAACTATGTCTCTCATGTTATACAAACTTAGTATTTCCTTACTTCTGGCAATTTCTCCTCAGTTAATTAAACTGAGCAAAGGCAGTCTCTGACTTAGGAAAAGATGATGATACAAAGTAAACGTGTAAGTCATTTCTTTAAAATTCAGCCTGCATATTTCCAAAAATAAAATATAAACACTAGTGAGATATATATGAGGCACAATTACCTTTATAGTATACACTGGAAACCTAACCACCATTTATACAACAGAAGTTTTAGGCAAAAGCTCTTCCTAAACATAGATGCATCATTTACTGCCACAGTACTGCCCTGCAACTTCTTGGTTCACAGTACAAAAACTCTCTTCCTTTCTCTAACCACCCAAAGCCACATAAAGAAATCCACATATAAATGCTTGCTGTCTATTAAAAGGTACAAATTCTGGCCGGGCATGTTGGCTCACACCTGTAATCCCAGCACTTTGGGAGGCTGAGGTGGGTGGATCACCAGGTCAGGAGATCGAGATCATCCTGGCTAACATGGTTAAACCACGTCTCTACTTAAAAAATACAAAAAATTAGCTGGGTGTGGTGGCAGGCACCTGTAGTCCCAGCTACTTGGGACGCTGAGGCAGGAGAATGGCGTGAATCCAGGAGGCGGAGCTTGCAGTGAGCTGAGATCGTGCCACTGCAGTCCAGCCTGGGTGACAGAACGAGACTCCATCTCAAAAAAAAAAAAAAAAAAAAAAAAAAGGTACAAATTCTGCAGAAAGTTCAAGAAAATATTATCAAATTTCAATACAGCACCATTTACAACTCATTTTAAGGGAGATGATTCTATAGCATGTCACAGGCTGCCTGGTGGCACGAGAAAGAGTTCATATGGTATCTTCCAGCAATGTCAACTGTTAAAACTTCAATTTTTCTTAACTGATCAGATTATACATGGTATGCAATAATTTGTTTTCACTACGCATGTAAAGACAGAGATGACAAGCTGCAAGGCTATTAACTAAATATATGCTATCCTTCTGAAAGAAAGATTCTCCAAGAATTTTTACTTGGGGATCCAAAATATAACTGTCACTGAGCTGTTTTTATTTTTGAGGGTACAGGGTAGTGAAATTTTACTTGTTTTTATTTATATATTTAAGTGTTAAGTGTTCAAATGAAATCAAGAATATTGAGATCACAAATATCTCACCTGACCCCAACTCCCAGTCCAGATGTCATATAAAGCTCAAGACAAAATTATTTTAAGAGAAAATTGAAGATTCATATGTTATTTTAAAAAGAGCAAATCAGGAAGATTAATATAGATCCATACAGTATTGTTTTATTTATGTTGTCCAAACATAAGGCTAAGAACAGCTGGTAAGAAGTTTGCACTGAATCAATTTACTCCTCTGAACTCCACTGTATTGCACATTAGCATAGGCAAAAATCAGCCAAGGACAACCAAGCACTGGGACGCCTCCCATCTCATTCTTTCTTTTGTTCTTTTTTTTCCTTCAGACAGAGTCTCACTCTGGAATATAGTGGCAGGACCGTGGCTCACTGCAGCCTCCGCCTCCCAGGTTCCAGTGATTCTCCTCCCTCAGCCTGCTCGGTAGCTGGGATTATAGGCACGTGCCACCATGCCTGGTTAATTTTTGTATTTTTAGTAGAGACAGGGTTTCACCATGTTGGCCAGGCTGGTCTCGAACTTGTGACTCAGGGGATCTGCTCGCCTCTGAAAGTGCTAGGATTACAGACATGAGTGACTGCACCCAGCCCCATCTCACTCTTTCTGTCCATGGTTTTTTTGTCCCCAACTTTTGTCTCCACCTTCATTTTCTTCTTGCAGCTAATCTTTCTTAAACGTCAAGATGGTATAAAAGAAGAAAATTTTTAGTATTAACTATGAAACACACTCTGAAACATATCTTGAAACTCATCAATTTACAAATATCTAGAAATTTAAAAATCCAAAAGAATAAACAACCACTCTTACAAAAGTAGTTCAGGCAAGAGGCTGAAGGGAGTGAAAAAAATCAACGGCCTGGGCCGGGAGCTGTGACTCACACCTGTAATCCCAGTACTTTGGGAGGCTGAGGCAGGTATATCAAGAGATGGAGACCATCCTGGCCAAATCTGATGAAACCCCATCTCTACCAAAAATAACAAAAATTAGCCGGGCGTGGTGGCGGGCGCCTGTAGTCCCAGCTACTCGCTGAGGCAGGAGAATTGTGTGAACCCAGGAGGCAGAGCTTGCAGTGAGCTGAGATCGTACCACTGCACTACAGCCTAGGCAACAGAGTGAGACTCCATCTCAAAAACAAACAATAACAACAAAAACAAGTCAACTGCCTTCCAATACACCAGTATTAACTTGCTAGGTAACAAAAACATCCTAATCATAAAAGCAACAAAAAATATAAAAACATCTAGAAACCAATTTAATAAATGTATATAACCCTTGTGAAGAAAAAACAAAAACTTTAGGAGAAATCCAGTTACTCAAGTCACCTTTTCAAAAGATTCATATTACTGGATGGGAAAATTCAATATAAAGATAATGTCAATGATACCTAAATTTCTTTACATATTTTAATACAATTTCATTCAACAGCTCTAAATTCCAAAGGGAAATATCTGCAAGGGGGCAAAGGAATTGCCAAAACAATTCTAAAGTTCACCCAGAAAGAACAAGCATCCAAAAGAATAACTAAGAAAGTGCTACCCTTTCTTTAGTCTTTTATGCCATCACATCCAAATCATCATTTCTAGGATTTAAAAACAAAAGATACAAGAACCTAGACATTCTGCCTATTTCCATACAGTTAACTCTTCCCTGACTCCAAGTCGTCATCAAAAGATGAAGCTCTATAATCTTTAAGAATCTCACTTGCATAACCATTCATCAAATAAAATAATCTCTAATACAAAAATGAGTTCAAAAGTAACAATTTTGTCAGCTTTCAAAATAATACAATTTGATAAATTTGCAAATAGAGCAATAACAGCATGGTGTAGGACAATGCACCGGTGTACGATGTAGGACAATGCACCAGCTGATGTCAATTAGCTTAAGATGTCACTAATCACATTTATTGCAAACCAGACATTTTCCACTGATACACACCTATAGCTAAACAGCTTTCAGCACAGAACTTTTTGAGGGTTAAGAACAGTTCAAACAGCAGTTAACACAATTTTTAAAAGAATAATCAACTTCTAAAGATAACAGTCAAAGTAAACAGTAAATATAGCACTACTTCAGAAGCTAAGCCTCTCCCTCTTCTTAACCTGGAGCTGAACTGTATTATTTGTCTTGAGTTTGGCTTTTTATTGTTAACTGAAGAACACAAACGAATGATGCTTAAAGATCTCCTAAGTCTACAGCACAGCTCCTTATCCAAATGAAAGGACCCAAAAGCCGCTGGATGGAGTGGCTCACGCCTGTAATCTCAGCTACTCAAGAGGCTGAGGTGGGACGACTGCTCGAGGCCAGGAGTTTAAGACCAGCCTAACAAAGCAAGAACCCCGTCTCGGGGTGGGGGGGCGGGGGCGAGAGGGAAGAAAGAAAGCAAAGAAAAAAGACACAAAAGCAAGAAATGAAAAGGAAGACTAAGGGAAGTTTGAGACAATAAAGTAGCATACACAAGAGAAATTTTGGAGCAGAGAAACCAGACAGTACTAATGTGGGGAGGGACAGCAAGAAAGTCTAAAAAGAAAAAAAGATCATTCTGATGGCTGCTAAGGGGATAAAAGTGAAGCCAACTACACTACCTATTGCCCTACAGCTTGCTGGCTGAGAACAAAACTAATTTTCTTCCAGCTGCTCCAATTTTACTTCAAGTGAAGGCCCCACATCTGAGTTTCCAAATTAGCAAGCTATCCACAGCAACGTTCCTCCAACACCACCATTCTGCCTAGTGAGCTCTCTATTCTCGTATCTGTCTCCTCATCTCCCACGTTTCTCCTCTCACCCTCTAAGAGCAGCAACTTTCATTTCCACAAGTTTAACAATCTCTCCTGCAGGAAGCATAATAACACCTTAATTGTACTATCTTGACTCTCTTCTACTAGACAGCATGCTCCTCAAAAATGGGTGAAAATGGGTACATTCTTTTTTTTTTTTTTTTGAGACAGAGTTTCGCTCTTTTTGCCCAGGCTGGAGCGCAATGGCGCAATCTCAGCTCTCATGGCAACCTCCACCTCCCAGGTTCAAGTGATTCTCCTGTCTCAGCCTCCCGAGTAGCTGGGATTACAGGCATGCGCCACCAGGCCCGGCTAATTTTGTATTTTTAGGAGAGACGGGGTTTCTCCATGTTGGTCAGGCTAGTCTTGAACTACCGAGCTCAGGTGATCCACCCACCTTGGCCTCCCAAAGTGCTGGGATTACAGGCGTGAGCCACCGCGCCCGACCGCGAAAAATGGGTACATTCTTAATTTAACATTGTCTAACTCAACATCACGCACAAGATCTGGCAAGTGACAGAGTCTCAATATACTTGATTTGTCAGAACAAGTACCTACCACCAAACAAAATTACACTCCACACTGTCAACATACTAGGCTGTCCACTCATTAACCACAGCTACCTAGCTTAATACCACTATCCAAGCCAAATCAAGGTATCCATCTTTAAAAAAAAAATCATCATTAATACAAGCACTATGTAAATAAAGTTAAATAACAAATGTAAGATGATTTGTTAAATTACTCAAAACACTACCAATACTATATGAAAAGTTGTAAGTACACTCTGAATAACCTATAGCTTATCTAAACTGAGGAACGGCCTTGTGAAAAACTTTAACTCAGGGAATAGATGCCTAACACTACCATTAGCCTCAAGTGCTACTGACAAATGTATCTTGCTTTCAAAAACGTTATTTCAGCAAAATATACAGCTCACAGCTGATGTGCAATAAAATGTTAAAACTACCTATACTAGAATAAGAGGCAGTTTGTAATATTACTATTTTTGATTTTAATATCTTGTAGCAAGTTTTTTTTATTCCAAAAATGACGGCTCCTTGTAAAAAAGAGTGGGGAGTAGAGGGGTAGATGTCTTCAACTTGCATACTAAATGAGCTCTTCTCTCTATGATACCCAGTAAGGCAAATGGGTATCTTTCTTAGAAGGTTTACTTTCCAAGGAAAACAAAGTTTCAGAACTAAAAAACAAAAAGTGAAAATAAAAACTGGACTTTCAGAAAACAATCAATTAAATCCAGAAAGATAGGAATTATTTTTAAAACCATACCAACAGGCATATTCTAGCACCAGTGCTGCAGGTTCAAGTTTCAAGAAAGCATCAATCGAGAAAATGGAAGGAAGTTCAGTTCTACCTTCCACACCAAACGAAAACCTTCTACCAAAAAAAACTACCTTATATTTTAAGATAAGGTTACAACCATATCATAATAAAGATTCAGTTTGAAACTGGCAAACTGTGAAAAGCCTAATTTTCAAGGTATGTATTTTGTTTGGACTTTTTCATAAACTTTCAGTTACCACAAAAAACGAAAACTGGCAGTAATAAATACCTAAGGTTCACAAGCCTTGAATAGATCCTCATTTTACTTATTTCTTAAAAGTGATACTTTTTGTTAATCAGCAAAGGCAGTCAATCAAAACAGTTTCCAAAGCAATTCAGCACTGAATGTGCAAGAAAGTCTGTAGTTTTTTCTGTTTTATCCATTCATCTAACTCAATTTTTAGCGATACGGCAAAAAAGAAAAAAAAGCCATAGTCACAGAGTGAAATAGCAGGGCACGCAATTCCATTACATTAGCAGTATTACCAGCACAGGAAATTGCAGAAGGAAAGAAAATACTAAATTTTCTTCATATCCTAATTTTGCTAAGTAAACAACTGACAGTCCAAAATAATAATTTTTTATAAATTAAATTATAAGAAAATGTTTAACAATTTTATAAGCAAACAATTACAGACTAGCTCTCTGTCCTCTCAAAATCAAAGCTACAACATAACGTCAACACCCCTCCCCAGCCAAGCAATATTTTAGACTAGTGATAAACAAATGCACAGGAAAATTTTAGCTCATTTCTAGAACATTTATTAAATGTCTACACCTGCCAGGCTCTAAAATGCAGAGAACAACAAAATTACACAGAAAATTAAAGTGCATAGGGGTCTCTTCACTAGGGACAATTATGAATAAAGATAAGTCATTCAACTATACATTCATAAAGTATCATTTTAAAACTAGAGGCCAGGAACGGTGGCTCACTCCTGTAATCCCCGCACTTTGGGAGGCCGAGGCCGGGGGATCACAAGGTCAGGAGTTACAGACCAGCCTGGCCAATAGATGAAACCCCGTCTCTACTAAAATACAAAATACTAAAATACTAAAATACAAATACTAAAATACTAAAAATACAAAAATTAGTCGGGCACCTGTAGTCCCAGCTACTCGGGAGGCTGAGGCAGAAGAATCGCTCAAACCCGGGAGGCAGAGGTTACAGTGAGCTGAGATTGTGCCACTGCACTCCAGCCTGGGCGACAGAGCAAGACTCTTGTCTCAAAAAAAAAAAAAGCAACTAGAAGACCTGTAGAGGTTATCTAATCTAATCTTTTTATAATTAAGAAATGTTAATAGTTTTGCCATACTGTATATTTTAAAATTACCATTTTCCCAATGTCTAGAAATATAAGCATCCCTATCCATATTAATGGGAATTTAACTACCAAAGAAAACGACGAAACATGAAACAGAAGTATCTGTTCACTCCATCTGTATTGTAAAACATAAGCCACTCATCTGTTCTTTCCTGGGGAAAGGAAATCAAACCAGATATCAAAGGCTAGAAATTCCAAATACTGTAATATTAGCCAAAATGATCTTACACTTTCTCTAACAAATTTTGTGTTAGAAATAAAAAGCAGTGCGGGGCACAGTGACTCACGCCTGTAATCCCAGCACTTTGGGAGGCCGAGGCGGGTGGATCACCAGGGTCAAGAGATCGAGACCATCCTGGCCAACATGGTGAAACCCCATCTCTACTAAAATACAAAAAGTTAGCCGGGTGTGGAAGTGCGCGCCTGTACTCTCAGATACTCAGGAGGCTGAGGCAGGAAAATCACTTGAACCCGGGAGGCGGAGGTTGCAATGAGCAGAGACTGTGCCACAGTACTCCAGCCTGGGCAACAGTGTGAGACTTCTTCACAAAAATAAAATAAAATAAAATAAAAATAAAAATAAAAAGCAGCTATCTGGGCAGTCATTATGACGGCTGATTACTTAGATTCCAAATCACAGGTTTAAAATTTATCCTGACATTTTGAAAGTTAAGAACTTATTTCCTCTAAAAACAAAAAAGGTGAGGGGAAAGAAACTACAATTTATTATGTTGTACTTTATAGACATTAGCTCATTTAATCCTTATATCAACCTTGTAAAAAAAGAATTATATCTACATTACAAATGAGGAAATTGAGGTTCCAGAGTTTAAGCAATCTGCCTTAATATTATCGCAAATATAATTAATTACCAAGTCACGATTTAAACCCAAATCTCTTTTGCTAACAAAATTCATAATCTTCCCACTACATTATGCAGCCTCCAAATTAGTTAAGATATTCTGATTCCTTTTACAGACATCAGTAAGAAATCTGTTAACAGCATCAAGAGATTATAATCTAAGACAATATAAACAGAAAAGATTACTGGATAATCCAATAATTTATTTATAGGGAACAGCCATCATTCACAATCATGAAAAGTACTATTTCAGAAGGAAGTCTGAACACAGACATTGAAATGTTTTCAATGTATCCAAGACCTCAAGTAGGGAATACTTAAAATATTACTTTGAGAAGAAACAGAAATTGTGAGGCTTATGCATGACTTGTTATGAACGTAGCTAACTTTAGTAATAGCTCCTTAACGGTATGTTCTTGTCATGAGTCTGTTGAGAAGAGTTGGTAGAGCGAGTTACCCCTGTATTCCCCCCGCCCCCAAAGAGGGGGAGAAGACGAAATGTACTGAGGAGGGAAAAAAACTGACACAACACCTTGTAAAGCAGCCGAAACTGGCCCCTTATCAAAGTTTCTACGTAACTAAAGGATGTCTGGCAAGACCATTACTAATTATGAACTAATTATTTTGGTGTACATCATTCACCAAGTGGCATAAACAGTCGGATTAGAGAACGCAAGTAGAAAACGAGTTGGTGTTTCTCAGAACTGTAAAAGCAAGCTTCTCTCCTACAGTAAATTTAACTTTCTAATAACTGATTTATAGTCACACATACTCTTTAAGATGTAACAGTCCCCAGCACCTAAAAAAGTGTTATACACCTTTTTGCATCAGCATCGGGAAGTTTAACTACCTAGTGGCAGTACCAATTAATATATTCGAGACCAGAAAACCAAAGCAAACAACGATTAAATGTCCCGCCCAAGATGGCAACTAAGAACCCAACCTTACTAATGCTGAACTACTACCACAGCTCACTGGTTTCACAATACGTGCACAGGATTCCCTGTAAACACAAATGCAATTTACTAATCGTATGTAGCTTAAAAGTCTACGGGGCTTCTCTTTTCACTGTGTTTCTTCAACATGAAGAAAGAGACCACGAGTCCTCTACCCTAAAAAGTGCTTTTTACTTCCCCTTAAGGTAAAGACCACGTGTAGCGTGTACATTAACCTTGGCTATGAAGCACTGCAAAGGAGAGCTTGCTCCCGCCTCTGCATTTCCCACTTCGCGTCTTTGCCCTAGTGGTCCTCCCCTCACAGCTGGCGACCCTAAAGATTATTTATTCCTTGGAGGGAAACTGAGGGAGGCCGGAAGTGAGTGAGATCCAAAACCGAGAAAAAAGCAGCACTTAAGCACCGGGAAGCGATTCCCGCCTCTCTCCCAGGCGCTGTCTGGAGGCCTCAGGGCGCAGGAAGCTGAAATACAGGAGAGCGTTTTCACGACTTCAGACCTCAATCTGAATTCCTGATTTCACTCCAACGCCAAGTGCGGGCCGAAGCACTCACGCCACCACCCCCTGGGCACGCCAGTTTCGAGCTGAATCCAGGCTGGGAATAAGGGGAGATACCAGGCCTCTCAACCTGCGCACCACGGTGCGGCGGCGCCCGGGCCTACCGTCCCGAGCAGAACGCAGACCCCAATCCCAATCGCCTCTCACAGGCCAGAAGCGTCTGTGGGCCCCAGACGACAGTGGTAGATCCGCTGACTTACGAAATTTTGTCAGAAATTACCTTTGAACTGGCCTTCTGAGATCCGCCTGGCGTTTTGTCCGCCATCTTGAGCTTTGCCCCTCCTTCGGCGGCAGCAGCAGCACGGGCGAGTCGAGCACCGAAAGAGCGGATCTCAGCGAAGCCCGCCAGAGGAGCCTGCAAGGCTGAATAGTCGACTGTCGAGATAGCGACCTTGGGGGAAGCCGCTCACGTGACTTCCGGTGTCAGTAATTTCCTCAGCCGCGCTCACTACGCTAGTTTTCCTGGGAGTCACGGTGTTTGGTCACGTTATTGGGTCCGGGAATTCAGAGTATCTCCTTGTCCAGGGCCAGCTGATATTTCACTCTCTTATCCCAACGCCAACCCTTGACAGATGCGAACCAGTCGTATTTCCTTTGTGGGAAGGGAGCCGCTTTTTAAAGACGTGCACTGGCCATCTAGGGAGTAGCTTTTACTTCAACTCAAAATAGGACTGGAGCTGACCGGTGGCCTGGCGCTTGATCGACGGAAACGCTGTTCTCGCCACTTCGGCAGCTCCCACGCTTGCAGTCTGCTCATCTTAAGATGGTGAATGTTGACATACGGTTGCGCCCGAAAAGCCGAGAAGAGGAGCGTTTGACCCAACCTGAGGGTGATCCAGTAGACACTGTTAAGGGCGTCTGCAGAGTGGGTGCGCGTGGAGACAGTCAATGAGAGAAAATCGTAAATACAGACGGTGTTCTAAATCTAGCATGTATGTAAAGTTGTGTGACATTTTTAAAGATTACATTTTACACTTTAGTATTGTTTTCATTTTTAATCACATAAATGGGGGAGCATCATATTAAACTTTTCTGTACTTAGTACTTTTTTAAAAAGTTATTAATCAGGACCTAGATTCAAAGAAGGAAAGCTTGTTTGAGAAGACTATGCCTGAATCAGGCCAGGCAAGGAAAGAAAGGACATTCCAGAAAGAGGGAGTAATTGAGGTAAAAGCCTGTGGCATAAATTAGTACAGCCGGTCTTGCAGGTCACCTAAGCAGTCATTTTATTAGATCAGGTGTGGAGAGGGACGTGGTTGGACGGGGTGTGGGTGCAGGTTCACACAGCGCCCTGAGGTCACCATCGTGCTTAGGAGTTTGAATTCTATTCTCGCCGGGCGCGGTGGCTCAAGCCTGTAATCCCAGCACTTTGGGAGGCCGAGACGGGCGGATCACGAGGTCAGGAGATCGAGACCATCCTGGCTAACACGGTGAAACCCCGTCTCTACTAAAAAATACAAAAAACTAGCCGGGCGAGGTGGCTGGCGCCTGTAGTCCCAGCTACTCGGGAGGCTGAGGCAGGAGAATGGCGTAAACCCGGGAGGCGGAGCTTGCAGTGAGCTGAGATCCGGCCACTGCACTCCAGTCTGGGCGACAGAGCGAGACTCCGCTCAAAAAAAAAAAAAAAAAGCTATTCTCAGAATGAAGATCGGCCTTTAACAAGGTTGAAATGGTCAGATTTTTATTTTAAAGTATTGCTCTGAGGACTAGGGTGGGAGCGGAGGGCGTTCGTGGACCTCTCCCTAATTCATTTATTCAAAATATTTTTGAGCCCCGTTTTGTGTGTAAAAGCCTGCCCAAAGTGTTGTAGGGCTTACAGAGACAGATAAACATGCACTGTCTTCATATGCTTTAAAACTTAATGAGAAATGAAGGAGACAAGGAAACCGCAAACTAATACTATGCATAACTAAATTGATGCTGCAAGGAAGGATCAATAGCTGAGGGACCTCTGAAAGAAGTAATTAATTCTGAGAGTAAGAGTGAGGAAAAGAGACGGGGCGGGGGAGGGATTGTGGTCATAGAGAATAAAGCATTTGAACCGGCTCTGAAGAAGTAGAATTTTGTTGAATGGCGGGGGTGGGGAGCGAGGGAAGCACTTAGAACAGGATCCGACACAAGGCTGGCCCCTCAGGAAAGATTAACAGACTTATGTGCCAGTCACTAAGGAATCAGCAGGCCAGGCCTCCTATTCTGTATGAGGGTATGAGGGTAGAAGAACAGACAGGAAACAAGAAATGATCAGAAACTGACAAGTGCTACACATGAAATTAGAATGACTTGCACCCTCCAACGCAATTGAATTTACTTCCAGTGCTGGATTCTGTCATACTTTTTCAGTTCTGGGCCTCTTCCCTCAACCTTGCCCTGACCTCTCATTGAAGTGTAATCCAATTCTACTCTTGGTGAAGATGTCCCTTCCTCCAGGAAGGCTTACAGTCCTCCCTCCCCACCAATCCTAAATGAGAGACCCTTCTTCTGTTTCCAAGGAACCTATACCTTCCCACTTTGAAGAGCTCAGCACACTAGATCTTAACTGGGTTTTGTTTTGTTGGTTATTTTTGTTGTTGTTTTGCTTTTTGGTAAGGAGTCTCGCTCTGTCGCCCAGGCTGGAGTGCAGTGGCACAATCTCAGCTCACTGCAAGCTCCGCCTCCTGGGTTCACGCCATTCTCCTGCCTCAGGCTCCTGAGTAGCTGGGACTACAGGCGCCCACCATCACGCCCGGCTAATTTTTTTGTATTTTTAGTAGGGACGGGGTTTCACCATGTTAGCCAGGATGGTCTCGACCTCCTGACCTCGTGATTCACCCACCTCGGCCTCCCAAAGTGTTGGGTTTACAGGCGTGAGCCACCGCGCCGGGCCTAGATCTTAACTGTTTACAGTATAGGATTAGAAAGTGAAATCATCAACTGAGATGAAGAGAAGTGGGACTGGGTATGCCTTGTGGTGTTCTAACAATGCCACAGGCTGATTTTGTCACTAGAAAGTGAATATATGCGCCTGTAATCCCAGCACTTTGGGAGGCCAAGGAGGGCGGATCACAAGGACAGGAGATCGAGACCACTGTGAAACCCCGTCTCTACTAAAAATACAAAAAATCAGCCGGGCTCGGTGGCGGGCACCTGTAGTCCCAGCTACTCCGGAGGCTGAGGCAGGAGAATGGCGTGAACACGGGAGGCGGAGCTTGCAGTGAGCCGAGATGGCGCCACTGCACTCCAGCCTGGGCCACAGAGCGAGACTCTGTCTCCAAATAATAATAATAATAATAATAATAATAATAATAATAATAATAAAGAGTGAATATATGCAGCTTTTCAGGCAAATCCCCAAAGTTCTACTTATTTTTAAAATAATTTTTACTAAATACTCCTAAAGAATTAAAAACAATGCAGACTTCTTTCTTCTTTTTTATACCGTAAGCCCCAAAGCAAGTCAGACAAATGTGATGTGACTAGAAATAATACATAGGCCTTTATTAAGGGTTAAGTACACTTTTAAAAGTTCAAAATCATGACCAGGTGCGGTGGCTCAGGCCTATAATCCTAGCACTTTGGGAGGCCAACGCGGGCAGATCAAGGCAGGCAGATGGCTTGAGCCCATGAGTTCGAGACCAGCCTGGGCAACACAGCAAAACCTCATTTCTACAAAAAAATATTTAAAAGTCAGCCAGATGTGGTGGCACACATCTGTAGTCCCAGACAGGAGGCTGAGGTGGGAGGACCACCAGAGCACTGGGAATCTTACCATTGCACTCCAGTCTGGGCAACAGAGTGACCCTAGCTCAGGAAAAAAAAAAAAAAAAAAAAAATTGAACATCACAATTATGAGCAAGAGTTCTTGATACATGAAATTCTGGCCCTATTACTCAAATTACAAATTCAGGAAAGTGAAATAGCATGAAAATAATCCAAATGGAATTTTATGCAATCTGAATAATTAGATTAACAATTATTAGTGCTAAGGGACTACACATAAACAGTAAGAATCAAGCAATTTACTGCAACTAATATTACCTTTTTACAATTACACTAAAACCATGCCATTTTTCTCTTCCTGATGTGTTGATTCTCTGGTGCCCACACACCTGCCATTTGTTTTTAAGGCTTCTTCCTGCAGCAGATACATTCAAGAGAAATTACAAAGTAGTGCCATATATATGCAATACTGAGATGTTTTGTTTGATTCACTCAGGGAGATTTTTTTCTTTGAAATTTCAGCTAGCATTTTAAAACAGAGAGATTTTACATAAAACTCAGGGTTTCTAGCCTTTCTTGAAAAATGGGGAAGTCTGGCAACACTGGGGGACAATCCAGGTGATGTGGCCTGTAGTGACTTCTAGGGAAGGGAGCTATGCACACCAATTTAGCCACCCCCTCATCATACACAGTGGACAAATTCCCCATACCCAACCTGCTTGTAGGCATTTCAGTTTTCTAGTTCTGATGTACAGTGTAATTCTTAACTGGGGTGTTGATCAAAACATTACCAACCAGTTCCCCCAGGCATCAACCAGAACTGACTTATTAGTCAGGTACAGGAGGCTCAGTGCCTAGGGCTCACAATAATTTTTAGACCTCCCCACCAAAAATGTTTTGATTTCTTCAAGGAGGAAAAAAGTGGAGTGGAGAGAGTATTTAACAATACAAACAGCTGTGGAACCTGTGCATGCTAAAAGATAGAGACCTTAAAAAATGATTGCCCCAAAGCTACAACCTCCTGTATTGTGCCAATGGACTGCTCCTACTTGGTGGCATTTTCATTCTAGACAGTTTTTAAGCAGCTTTTCCCTGCTCTCTGGGCTTCAGGATATAGGTTGGTAAAAGGGACATTCCATTTGCTTTTTGGCATTTATTGAGTTTCTAGTATGTGCTAGGCTCTGAAGAAAGAAGATAAAAAGAGAGACAACTAAAAATCAGACTTAATGTCTTCTGCTAAGAGAGATCCTAGCTGCTTCTAGGAATAATTAGGAAACAGCCTTTACAGAGGTGTGGTCAATGTGGAATGGAAAATTCCTTCTGATGAACTTGACTGCCTGCCCCACACCCACCTCACAATGTAAGTGTTATGAGTAAGGTTTCAGTAGCAACACCAGCTGCTCCCCCTTTCACACACACACACACAAATTACCTGACTCACTTATTGATTATATACAGATTCCTTTGACAATAATAATTAGCAGTGGCAGGCAGGCGCGGTGGCTCACACCTGTAATCCTAGCACTTTGGGAGGCCAAGGCAGGCCGATTGCCTGAGTTCATGAATTCGAGACCAGCCTGGGCAACATGTGAAACCCCTTCTCTACTAAAATACAAAATAAATTAGCTAGGCATGGTGGCGTGCACCTGTAGTCCGAGCTACTCCGGAGGCTGAGGCAGGAGAATTGCTTGAACCCAGGAGGCAGAGGTTGCAGTGAGCCAAGATTGCGCCACTGCACTCCAGCCTGGGCAACAAAGTGAGACTCTGTCTCTACAAAAAATGTCAAAAAGTACGTAGCCCAAGAATACACTGGCGCCATGATGAAGATACAGAAATTGCCATTCTAACTATGATCCTAGTGAGAAGGAAACCTTTACTGTGTAGGAATTATTTTATCAACAAGGTTAATAAAATCTAGGAGGGTCCAGATGGCGTACTGTGGAAATGGAAATTAGTGTTCCTGAGAGTGTGTGTGTGTGTGTGTGTGTGAGTGAGAGAGAGAGAGAGAAAGGAGGACTCAAGGTGCCTGTGGCAGGTCATGAGAACCAGCACACAGCAAATCTGGGGAGCTCTCTCTTGCCATGGCCAGGCAACCCAAAGGTGGGCTTGACTTGGACCACCAAAGATAAGGCCTCACTTAACTTGTGACCTGGCTTTGGCCAGTGCGAAGCCTACATATCCCCATATTGACTGAAACGCATGAGACAAGACCAGGTAATATTAAAGGCGGGGTGGATAATTAAGTTATGAAAAGAAAATGAAAGAAGACTTTCCCTTATCAATTTCATCTGTTAATAACAAAAGTTGTTAGTAACAGTGGTCTTAAAACACATAAGGCTTTATTTTGACATTGCTATAGTGGTAAGATTCTATCAAAACAACATGGCATACCTTTCTTCTTTTTCAAGTTTTGTTCCATTTCCTTCACATTAACTTTGCGTATTTTCTGTTACTTTGTTAGGCATTTTGTCTTTTCTGTTGTTACTGTGGATATAGCAAGTTTTTGTATTTATGTATGTCCTAAATAAGCTGTTTATTGACAAATTAATGTTGTTAACGTGTCTACCGAATTCTTACATTATTTACATAGGTTTTCAGTTTATTCCCCTGAACTTTCAGGTATACAATCATATTTGCAAATAATTACCAGTTTGCCTCCTTTTTTTTTTATAAAAATAAAAAATTTTTATACTTTTTTCTTGTATAATTACATTAGCCAATACCCCCAGAATAATGTTAAGTGTGGTGCTAATGAACATGCTTGTCTTTTTTTTTTGAGACACAGTCTCGCTGTCGCCCAGGCTGGAGTGCAGTGGGGTGATCTCGGCTCACTGCAAGCTCTACCTCCCAGGTTCACACCATTCTCCTGCCTCAGTCTCCTGAGCAGCTGGGACTACAGGCGCCCGCCACCAGCTAATTCTTTGTATTTTTAGTAGAAACGAGGTTTCACTGTGTTAGCCAGGATGATCTCCATCTCCTGACCTTGTGATCCGCCCGCCTCAGCCTCCCAAAGTGCTGGGATTACAGGCATGAGCCATCGAGCCCGGCCAAACATGCTTGTCTCATTCCTGACTCTAGTGAGATGCTTTTAGTATTTCTATGAGGATGAGGATAACTTTTTGGGTTGTACATTGAATTTTATATATATATATATTTAGCTAACGGTGGAACTGAATAGCATTTAAAATTCTCTTAAGAAAACTCAGGGATTGTGAGGATACGCCAAAGAATGCCCTGTTAGACGGTCAGACAGCCCTGTTAGAGGCACATTGTTAGAGGCTTTTGTCAAGAATAACCAGGACATTTCCATGACTTGGGAAAATAAGGGAACAAAGTAGAAATGTCCCACTCTGCACACCAGTGAAAATGGGCAGTGTGGAACACAGATTAGGAGGAGGACAGGTAGAAATCTGTATAGTTTCCTATTGCTGCCGTAGCAAATTATCACAAAGTTAGTGGCTTATAGCAACACACATGTATTATCTTACAGCTCTGGGGGTCAGAAATATAAAATGTACCACCAGGCTTGTGTTCATTTTGGAGTCTCTGAAGAAGAATCCTTTTCTTTCCCCTTCCCGGATTCTAGAATTTACCTGCATTCCTTGGTCTGTGGCCCTCTCCTCCATCGGTATCTTCTCTCTGACGCTTGCCTCCACCCTTATCTCTTCTCCACCTCTGCTCCCTCCCTCTTATAAGAACCCTTGTGATTACATTGGCTCTACTATGACAATCCAGGATAATCTCCCATCTCAAGAGCCTTAACTTAATCACAGCTGCAAAGTCCCTTTGCCATGTAAGGCAATATATTTGCAGGTTCTGGGGATTAGGGTGTGGACATCTTTGGAGGGCCATTATTAAGTTTACCATGGGATCTATAATGAAGTTTCTGTTTTTGTATTTTGTCTCTGGCTGAAAGGACACAGCTTTGATCCCACCAGAGAACTGAGTTGGGAATGGTCCTAATAAATACAGTCATCTTTAATCAATTTAGTTCTGAAATTGTTATTGGGGAATTCAATGAGTAGAAGGTGTGGTTCCAGTGAGGATGGGATAAGACAGGTCCCTGTTGTCAAACAACTTGCAGGGAATAAAAGAGACAGATGTATCACAACAAGATTCTAAGAAATACAGGCTGAAATTTTAGTTTGATTTGTTCACTGCTGCATCTGCAATGCCTAGAACAGAGTAAGCACCATGCAGGTACTCAATGAATATTTGTTAATGAATGAAATCAGCACCAAAAACAGTTTTATGGAAACACAGGAGAAGATTGGTTTGGGAGAAGTAAGGAAAGACCTAATGAAGGATACTCTAGAACCACTGGGAGTGTCTGTCCAGCTCTCAAGATTTCACCTCTGGGGTTAACTTCTGAGAGGGCAGGATGAAGACCTTAGCACAGTGTTACCTCACTTAAAAAAAATTCCAATTATGCTAATTTGAAACAGACTTAAAAGTCTCCCTTCAAGTACTAATTGTGAAATAATACAGATCCCCTTTCATGCCCAATTTTTGCTTTTTTTTTTTTTTTTTTTGCTGTTCAAGAATTGAGTAATTTCTATGCAGGCAGGCATAGAAATTACACACATCATTTACTATTTTGCCACGTGGTGTCGCTGCTGCCACTGGTAAACAGAACACCCACCTTCTTTGGTACATTTTCTGTGAACAGTGATCTTGGTGCTCTTGCCACATTTGTTACAATTCAGACTGTAATTTCCTGTTGTTGTCAACCAAGCTTTCCTTGAGCAATTACGCTTGTCCTGGTGCTGAAAAACGTGCTAAAAAATAGAGAGGAAGTTAAATGTAATTTTTAAAAATCATAGCATACTGTGTTGTTCATTTACTAGAAAACAGTATGCAAAATATCAGGTCTAACAAAAATACGAGAAATAACTTTAGAGATCTCTCTACAGTCAGGCTTGCTCTGTTTCAGGAGGTCAGGGATGCCACTGAATCCCAGCACCTTGCACAATGCCTAACACAGAGTAGACAAAAAATAAGTATTTGTTGAATAAAAAATGAACATGGAAAAAGATGACTGCCCTATAGCTCTCAACCATATTACCTCACCTTTACCCCTACACAGAGACTAACAGTAAGTTTCTGCAATCGAATTCCAAATTCTTAGGATAAGGTTCTGAATAGTCCAGCTGTGGCTAACCGCTCATTTTTGGTCTCATCAGTTGTGCTCAAAGAAAGTCCAAATGGCCCTCAGAGGCTCGCTGTGGAATAAGTGAAGATTTCAACGGTGGGGCAAAACTGTCGATTCTATGAATAGTAGATTTCAGATATATATACAACTACTTTTCAAATGTTTGGAGATGCTGCTGTGATTGATATGCCATAATTTCTCATTGTGATAAATGTATCTAACTTAAAATGTACCCTTTTAGCAATTTTAAGTGTACAGTTCAGTGGCTTTAAATACATTCACATTGTTGTGCAACTGTGTCTGGAATTGGTGGGTTTTTGGTCTCACTTCAAGAATGAAGCTGTGGACCCTCACGGTTAGTGTCAGAGTTCTTAAACATAGTGTGTCTGGGGTTTCTTCCTTCTGGTAGGTTGGTAGTTTCACTGGCTTCAGGCGTGAAGCTGCAGACTTTCGCGGTTAGTGTTACCGTTCATAAAGGTGGTGTGTCCAGAGTTGTTCGTCTATCCCTGTGCATTCGTGGTCTCCACAGGGAGTGTTACAGCTCATGAAGGCGACATGGACCCAAAGAGTGAGCAGCAGCAAGATTTATTACCAAGAGCAAAAGAACAAAGGCTCCACATCCTGGAAGGCGACCCAAGTGGGTTGCTACTGGTGGCACCAACAGCCTGGTTTTATTCCCTTATCTGACCCCACCCACATCCTGCTGATTGGTCCATTTTACAGAGAGCTGATTGGTCCGTTTTGACAGGGTGCTGACTGGTGTGTTTATAAACCTTGAGGGAGACATAAAAGTTCTCCAAGTCCCCACCAGATTAGCTAGACAGAGCAGTGATAGGTGTATTTACAAACCTTGAGCTAGACAGAGAGTGCTGACTGGTGTGTTTACAAACCTTGAGCTAGACACAGAGCACTGATTGGTGCATTTACAATCCTTTAGCTAGACATAAAAGTTCTCCAAGTCCCCACCAGATTAGCGAGATACAGAGTGCTAATTGGTGCATCCACAAACCCTGAGCTAGACATAGAATGCTTATTGGTGCATATACAATCCTCCAGCTAGACATAAAAGTTCTCGAAGTCCCCACCCGACTCAGACGCCCAGCTGACTTCGCCTAGTGGATCCCTGCTGGGGCAGCAGGCGGAGTGGCCAGCGCAATGCCCCCGCACTCTTCAGCCCTTGGGCGGTTGGTGGGACCCCGTGGAGCAAGGGGCGGCACCAGTCAGGGAGGGAGGCGGGGGAGGAGGGAGGCAGGGGGAGCAGAAATATTGATATGGAAGAGGGGCAGGAAAGTGCTGGGAAGGGAAGGGCAGGTTCCTGGTGAGGGCTTATCCCCCGGACCTGTACTCATGGACCTAGGTGAGGACAGGCATTTTTGTTTTCCTGTCCAAATGTTGCATTTCCCACGACCACCTTGGCCCCACCATGCCCCCATCCTGTGCCTATAAAAACCCCCAAGACCCTAGCACGAAGGCACATAGGCAGCTGGATGTCAAGAGAAGCACATCAGCTGAGGAACACACAGGCGGCTGGACTTTGAGAGGAAGGCACCGACAGGAAGCAGCATGCCACCAACTGGCAGAAGCAGAACGGCCTGGAGTTTGGCTGGGGCAGCGGGTGGAGAGCCCAGGCCACAGAGCAGCCTGACTCCAGGGAATACCTTCCCACCCCATTCCCCTTATAACTTCCCCCTTCTGCTGAGAGCTGCCTCCACTCAATAAAACCTTGCACTCATTCTCCAAGCCCAGGTGTGATCCGATTATTCTGGTACACCGAGACAAGAACCCAGGATACAAAAAGTCCTCTGTCCTTGCAACAAGGTAGAGGTCTAATTGAACTGGTTAACACAAGCCGCCTATAGGCGGCAAAACTAAAACAGCACAGGGTAGCACATTGGGACTTCAGGAGCTGTAAACATTCACCCCTAGACACTCCCATGGGGTTAGAGCCCCACAACCTGCATGTCTGTATGCTGCCCTAGAGATCTGAGCAGCGGGGCACTGAAGAAACGAGCCACTCCCCCCTCACACGCCCTGCAAGGGGGACAAGGGAACTTTTCCCATTTCAGTATCTTCAGAGGAGAGGAATTCGTGTTGTGGTTCATTTGTTTTGTTTTGTTTTGTTTTTTGAGTCAGAGTCTCGCTCTGTCGCCCAGGCTGGAGTGCAGTGGTGTGATCTTGGCTCACTGCAAGCTCCGCCTCCCGGGTTCACGCCATTCTCCTGCCTCAGTCTCTCCAGTAGCTGGTACTACAGGAGCCCACCACCGCGTCCGGCTAATTTTTTGTATTTTTAGTAGATCTGCGGTTTCACCTGGTTAGCCAGGATGGTCTTGATCTCCTGACCTTGTGATCCACCCGCCTTGGCCTCCCAAAGTGCTGGGATTACAGGCGTGAACCACCGTGCCTGGTCGTGGTGTATCTTAAAATTATTTTTTGGGAAAAAGGAATGATGCCAATTAAAATCATCCTCCTGGATTACTTAAGCCCAGGAGTCTGAGGCTGCAGTGAGCTACGATCACAGCACCGCACTCCAGCCTGGGCAACAGAGCAAGACCCTGTCTCGAAAAAAAAGAAAAAATACTCCTCCTGGAGAAGAGCAGACCTGAGGAAGCTATGGGAGCTGTTGACAAGGAACAAAAACTTTTTCCTTGTGACCACTTAGAGAAGAAAGCTTTGGCAAGAGACACAAAGCAACAGATTTTTTATTTCAACCCAAAGTACAAAATAATTTTTTAAACTCTAAAGTTTTTTCCTTGTTTAACAAGGGAACAATCTACCTTAATGAAATGAGTATTTGTGTATGAAAACACATAGACGCTGAAAGGATTTCAGAATTTGGGGAAAAGCTGCAGCATTTAAGCTAAGTGTGAGTTATAAGACTTCTTTTTACCCCCAACATTCTGTCTTTCTAATGACTGAAACATCAGTTAAAAAAAAAAGTCAAAAGTGGCCACAGTTGTAAAGTTTCAAAAGTAAGTAATTAATCAGTGTAAACTTGCTTTGCTATCTGTTTTAGTTTGTTTTCACACTGCTGTAAATAACTTCCCTGACACTGGGTAATTTATAAAGGGAAGAGGTTTAATTGACTCATAGTTCCACATGGCTGGGAAGGCCTCAGGAAACTTACAATCATGGCAGAAGGGGAAGCAGGCACAACTTACACGGCACCAGGCGAGAGATTAATGCTGCAAAGGGGGAATTTCCAAACACTTCTAAAACCATCAGCTCACGTGAGAACTCCCACACCATCATGAGAACAGCATGGGGAAAACCTTCCCCATAATCCAGTCACCTCCCACCAGGTCCCTCCCTCAACACTTGGGCATTACAGTTGGAGATGAGATTTGGGTGGGGACACAAAGCCAAACCATATCACTAGCTATTAGTGCCATATCCTCCAGATGAAGTTGGAATCTGATATGCTATCTATTCAATGTTGTTAAGAAAGCCACACAACTCTAAGAGTGTAGGGACAGGAGCCACAAGAGATCACCAGGCATACTTGGGCCTAAACTAAAGGGTCCCGCCTCTCATTTGTATATTGAACTAGGAAAATAACCTGATAAATCCAGATCAAAATTATGCAGATATCAGAGCCTTGTTCCATTTCTGGTTAATAAGAATTAATTACTCCAATTTGTCCAGTTTACTGGACTTTGAATTTTAGTTTTTCTCCTGTGATCTCTCTTTTCCTTTTTCATTAAAACTTGTGGGAAAATGCTTCAAGAAGCTGTGGGTAAGTAGACAATTCTTATACTTCATAGTTGAAAAATAAATTGGTACAACCTCCCTTGAATGTCTATTTGGCCATAGCTATCCAAATGTGAAGTGCTCATACCCTTTAACCCAGCAATTCTACTTGTAGGAATTTACCTTCTAGATGCACTCTCACACAGGTAAAGAAGGTGTGCAGCAAAAGACCAAAAATGCCCTTAATATCCATCAATATGGGACTTTTAAGAAGGTTTGGTATGGCATGCCCGAAGAATGCTCTGTGTAGAGGTGGGGCTGAAATGCCATGCCACTGTTGGAAGAATGAGGGAGCTCTTTCTGTACTGACTTAGAAATTGCTCCAAGATACACTATCACATGACAAAAGCAAGTACAGAACCTTTTTTTTTTTTTAAGGCATCTATAGATATATCTTACACAAGTATGTGGCAGGCAGCTTCTAAGATGGCCCCCAGTGATCTCCTGCTCCTGGTGTCCATGCCCGTATTTAATCCTCTCCCCTTGAGTATGGTTCGACCCGGGAATTTGCTTCTAACAAACAGAACACAGCAAATGTGATAGGATATCACTTCCGAAATTAGATTACCAAGAAACTTTGGCTTCTAGTCTTGCTTGCCTTTTCTGGCTCTTCTCTCTTATTCACTTGAGGAAGCCAACTGTCATGCTGTGAGGTGTCCTATGGAGAGGACAGTGTAACAAGAAACTGAGGGAAGCCTCAGGCCAAAAGCCAGTGAAGAAACGAGGCTCTCGGCCCAACAACGTGTGAGGAACTAAATCCTGCCAAGAACCCCCTGAGTGAGCCTGACAGCAGATCCTCCCGAGCTGAGACATGAGCTGACTGCAGCACCAGTTGACAGCTTGACTACATCCTTGGGAAAGCCCCAGCGCTGGGGGCCT